ATATAAGTTTTAAACAACTTAGTCTTCGTTTAGGGTTCGAAAGCCTGAGACCAATGAACGACACGCAATACGGCTACTGCAAGTACGTTATTATTACGTTATATATTGCTATAAACATCATACAACTGACAACGGTTTTACGCCCGATAAACATTCAACAGTCACAATACGTTTATTCCGGCTAGTACAAACTTTTTGTCTTTCATCAGTAATAAATATTTAGCTCTGGTCAGCGAGTGATGCTTGTGTTCCATTATGTTAACGGAATCCAGAAGGAAGTGGATGGATCAGAGCCTGATGAGGCTATGAAGGCAAGCTGTATCGTAAAACTTATGATAAGGCCATAGGCTTTAGAGATCCTTAAATCGAAAAATCAAGAATTAGGGAACAAATAAGCAATCGAACGAACAGACGCCGCCGGGTCATATCGTACATTGCCTCCATTCATTCCTCCATACTCATCAATACATAACCAAACTAGGACCCGGTGAATCACATATGAAAAATCAGAAGTTAGTAGAAAATTACGAGAAGGCCTAAAATGACATAAAGGCGTAACATAGAATTGAAATATATGGACATTATACAATAATACTGATATATATATATATACATGTAGAAAATAGGCAATAAAAGTTAGATTTTGTAAGAAAGGAAAGTAATTTCATACTGTTGTTATTATTTTAGTATTTATTCTAATTTATCGACAAAAGGAAAAGCTAAACTAATGGCCAATTTTCAGTTAGGCGGGTAAAATCTAGAAGTTTCCTTTTACGTCGACGGGTATACTTTGATAAAATACAACAGTTCGATGCTTGATCCTGTATCATGGGCTAACGTGAGTATTACCTATAAAAGATAGCCAATAAAGTATGCGGCAATCTTCGTCAAACAAGATCTAGAGACGGCTCCGATAGCCTCTAAACGTGGCATACTGTTCGCTTTATTTGGCAACGACTGAAAGTACCGGGCCATGTTAGAGAAAAATTAACCGAACCACGATCGTTTGCATTACACATGTAGAAGTTCTTCCAGTGCATTGAGCTATGCTCAGCGGAAAATCAACGGAACGTTTCACGGTATCTAGTTAGAAGAAAGCGAGTAGCTCACTATTTACACTTCTTAAGGTAGTGCAATTAGGACGCTGATATACAGTGTTCTAGGATAGCCCCTAGTGAGACCCGTTTCATCTCAATTAAATCCGTTACGATCACACAATACTTCACGATACTTCGTTTGTATTTCGTGCAAATCTCATAGATGATTCAGTATATGATCTGCTCGTCGGAGATTTCTACAGATGTTCATCAGCTAAACTATATGTCGCTCTCATTCGACAATAATTTCCTCATGTTGTTTGCATTTCGAGCTTGTTTATTTATATCAGTATTGTGGCATTAATGCGATAAGTATCGCTTTGACGCTTGAAAACGATAAGTTTTGATCTGAAGTACTTCAGATCAACATGTCCGGTGCCCATGAACATGGCCGTTTCCATTTGATGTCTATTCAATATTTCACCAGGAATCTTGTTGATAAATCGTGTCCGATTTGATCCTTATTTGCCACTGTTCTGGTAACACATTCTTTCTTTGATATATTCTTATATATAGCCAGTGCCTGTAAAGAAATGACCATGCATAGCAAGAAGTGTTCCTTTTCTACGACCATAGCGTTATAACTACGCCACAGACTCATTCATAAGTGGTGTCCAACATACTATACGGCCTAAGAGGGCGTCGAGGCCTTCGAAACAGGAGAAGGATAAAGGTTCGAGGTAACAGTATGTACTAGCACAAGTGGATGCGATTACCTCGGCGGAACATAAAGGCTCCTTTGAATAAAGGTCCCACCATAAGCATTCCTTACAACGAAATTAACCATTTGAGTCCAGTTGTGGATTAAAGTAAACTGATAAAATAAAAATTCACATTTCACCAGTGCTGTCTCTAAAACAGATATTTACGGTTTGGTTTGCAAATGAGGAAAAGTGTTGAAGTCAATGAGACCACGAGAGACATGTTCCGTATTCTCCGTCAGCTCACTTTACTTATATTTAAATCAATCCCTTTATTTGTGGATTTACATATATCGTGAACAAATAATAGCATAAATTTCTCCTTCACTCCTATTAGTAGAGGTTTTCTAATAAAGAACAGATCGAAAACACATATTCCTTCCGCTAAGCGATCTTTATTGATATGTAATCATCTTGTTAAGGTTCGGTGGACAAATGCCGGGAAAGCTCCTGTGGCAACAAACGCCTCATTTCAATGTTTTACAATCGACCCCATCAATCTGCTCCCTGTGTTGGCTGACGTTTATCCAATTTATAAAACAATAATTCTTACAATGTCTTCTCATAATTGTTCAGTTCATGCTAAGTACAGCTCTAGAATCCCATCTCGTAATGCGGCCGAGTTTTTACGAATGCAGTATACATATATTAAGTATTAAAAAGATAGTCATTATTATATTCCTGAAATATTGATCAGAGAATGTTTTGATTTGAAACCTGTTGCTTGCACACATTTGCTCTGACACAGATGAGCGCTCAAACACCAGAATGGTTTCTTTTTACAAATGGAACGTCGAACTATGTACTTAGAGTATTTCTGATAAGCAACGCTCATATACTACATATGTATGAATAACTTATTTAGACTACATGTATAGTCGGAATGCCACAGTATGGGGCCATAGGTTAGTTAAGCCAAAATATTAATGATAATAATTAGGATTCCTGAACGTTCTTATTTAATTCAACAGTGTAAGAATTTTCATTCGTCGATTTTGTTTCATCTATTGATCTGCTGTTTCGCTGATCTAATCAGAATGACGGTAAACACGTTAAAGAAAAACACCACGTATTTACAGTCTTATTAATAGTTGTCAATTTATGTAGATGGCGTTTATATTAGCCTCATTTGACAGCGTTCCCTATAGATATAAAACATAGATATAAAATTAAGGAAAAACGCTCTATCACGATCTGTCTGACACAGAAAGCAGGCGTGTTGACGACAAAAAAAAAAAGTCATTATTGCATAAGTGAAAACACTAAATGAAAACGTAGAAATTACTGAATACCCCAGAAACCTTTATAGAATATAGTGCTGCCTTCGGCTATTTTGCCGTTTTACTGGCAACCAGTTTCCCTACGATAAACTGAGAGCATTGATGAGCACTCGAACAAAACCAGTACTCACATGCCTGTCATCCGGCACAACAGGCTTGAATAAAAGCACCGCGTGTTTAGATAAATAGAAAGGTATATATAACACTATTGTCATTATATTGAATGTTGCTATTTCAATGGTCGTCGTCGTCATCATAGTCTTAAGCTTAATTACAGTTTGGCATCATTATGACGGCTATTTTGCTTACGTTGACTTGCTTGTTCTTGGGATTCGTTGAATCTCACTGTCGCCGTTTTCTCTTTACTTTATACTTATATAGATCGTATGGCATCCTCTTAATTGGCATGCTTTCCGTTAGAACGTTTCCGCTACGAAAACAATCGTTGAAGATGGCTGTCTACTGTATCGTTTGGCTATTTGTATGTACTAACAACTTACAATATGTGCTTGTAAAAGTTTTTGTCGTTGTCTATTTTTTCTAGGCTTAAAGTGCACACTTTTGGTTCTTTTCTTTTTGACCAGACGTCTACTACAAGATCATAATCGTACCTTCTAAATCGCTGCCTTAATGAACTATAATTTTCTTCCACATTGAAAAACTTTCTCGTTGAGTAGTTCCATCGACTTACTTCACGGGTATGATAACTGCTATCAATTAACCTTTACATATATCCTCGTCGCGTGATTCATCAGGCATCAGAGCAGTTGATAAATACGAAATTAAGCTATTAGTAACAGTGGTAAAATAAAAATAAAATATTCTTACTATTTTTAAAAACTACTGTAAAGGAAAATCTTCAATAATTAAAAAGTAGTTATTTTACCTTTTGTAAAATTTAGTAATTAGCTCGAAAAAATATAACGAAATTTTTTATTGAAGTAAAAAATTATCGTTTCCGTTAGATTCAAATCACAATTTTATAAGAACATGATTCTACCAAACAGCAGAAATAGACTTTTTTTTTTTTTTTTTTCTTTTTTCGCGTGTTTCGTGCCACTCCACGAGATAAACAAGTACACACACGAATGTGATTGTTGCAACAGTCGTAATGACGAATGCAAATGATAATAGGCCTTATTGTTGTCCATCGTACTAACATTTTTCGATAAGATGCTTCCTTTTGATTGAAATAGCTTCTGCTTTACTTGGCCGGTCAAGCATTACTTGGCATTGGGTTTCATGAGCAATCGCTTTTGCTAAAGGAGGCTTCTTCTAAGCTCTACATCAGTTGAGGTTTAATTGAGTAACGAATTAATTGTGTCTATCTATATATATCCGGCACTTAAAGAAGTGGACATGACAATCTCAGCCTTTCCAAGCGATCGATAGAAACGAGATTTAGCTGACTTAATTGGAGAAGCCCTACACTGCCTAACGTTCGTACGTATCACCTTGCGCCTGATCATTGCGCCTTGAAAGTTAGTCATATTAGAATCTAAGTGTGGGCGCCAAGTTTCCACAAAGTTAACATATATTCAATCTAGAGCAAAATCGCCAGGTGCAATGACGAGAGATTTTAAATAGAGATCCACTGAAACTTACTAGAGTAAAATACAATTCGAGACAAATATTACTTTAATAAGGACTTTTAATTAATTAATTAGTAGTGCACTCGGACGTTTCTATATAATTAGGCCAATGATCAGTTCGAGTAACCAGAAATTAGACATTCGTTTTTTTTTGTTGATTTATTTGCCGCGCTCGATTTTCTATAGTCAGCCTGGCAGTTGAAGTTGAATGAAGGTGTCTGTGTTTTTCTCTCCCATAGTAAGTACATTATTTTTAATGGATGGCGTGGAGCTATGTAGAGCTGAAGCCGCCGTCCATAAAGTTAGTCCCAGTTAACCTGCTTTCACTTTACATAAATTACGATCATCAAATTCTTCTACACATAAAGTCATTTCCATATAGTTATTGCCACTTTGCAGTTACTAATAAGAAGTTGCAGAAGACATTATTCCAAGGATTCGAACAGAGGCCTTAGCGTAGCGAAAAAAACCCATTCGATTAATGTTGTGATTTAAGGTATTCCTGAGTTAGCCAAAATCTGTTATTTAGTATTGTGCTACGCCTCCTTCTTTACGTGCATCATTTCCAGCGATTAATCGATAGTTGCAATGAATAATAAATGAGGTCGTGCTAAAAAGGAATAGTAATGAATTGATGTGTCAAAGCATATGTTTTTGTATAGAAAAAAAATTCGATCATTTTCATGAAATTATTTTTTAACCTGGCGGCTGTACGTGAGATCCATGTTCGAGCTAATGTGTTCGAATAGATACAAAAGAGGTCGGAATGATCCTGCTAAAATCTGAGACAGTTCTATTTAGCGGAAAACCCGCGAAATTGGCTCGAGTTAAGTGAAATGTGAACCCATTAAATATTCTTTACATATGTGAATGTGGTTCCTCTAAAAGGTCATCGCATAGGAGATTTAAGAAATCACTGAACAACCAGTCCCATTTCGAACCGGATTTCGTCAATGAAAGTAGTTAATCTTAACAAACGTTTGAACACAAGCTCTGAAGAGATGAGTAGCCTTTATAATAGCAAGGCATTTCTTTTGAGCAACTATTGTCCATTTGCTAATTGTCCAACAAATCGATTTATAGGAATCGTCTGAGTAATAATTATAAACCATTATGCTATTATTAATGACCGACAGATACAGAAAATGAAAAATCCTCTTTCATCTATTATACGATGCACTGTTCGACGGTGGAGATCTTCATTTATTGGGGGTCTCTTTCTCTAGTTCCTATTCACTTGTTTCCTTCGTTATCTGTTTGTATCTCTTTCGCTCGTTCTCTCTCTCTCTCTCTCTCTCTCGCTATATATATATATATATATATATATATATATATATATATATGCATATATATATATATATATATGTTTTTCCTTCGTTTCGCGCATGTTACTGATCTATGTATATATCTTTATCGTGTGTGATTATTCAGTGTGTATGACTGTGTTTCTAGCTATAAAGGAAAAAACAACTTTCTTTGCTATTTGCGTGCGATAATCATTTTTTTGTATAGTCATGCATTGTATGTTCGTGTATGTTTTTGGTGTGTGCTTTTGTCGTTTCAAATTTTCCTACATGTGGAGCATAGCTTCGTCCCATATTGATACCGTTAATGTTTCTTTTCTCTTTTGCTAATTGCAATACATTTAGACGTGAAATATACGATTATTTGCGAAATATCTATCCGCCTTTGCTTAGGTCTAATAAATTAGGTCATGACAATTGATCATAGTTATACACGTATATCTTTGTGAAGATACATTTGAAGATAATTTGTCCAGGCGGCGTTGTAACTGTGGAGTAAATAATCTTGTTTTCACGCAAAGCATTCCCATTGACCACGTAAGATGGTCTTCCTGCTTCCATCAGGCTGGAATCATTCTGGACAGGTGGTTTAGTAAGTGGCACAAATGCATTCGACGAATACTACGACAGTAGTTGATGCAATGGATATAATATTACGAATAAATTACTACTTCCAACTCATTGAACTTAGTTTAAGAATACCTTAAGTCTACAACACATCATATATATATATATATATGATGTGTTGTTGAGAGAACTTTTCCTCTAACGATTCGGACAAATTTGAAATCTTGATTCGTTGATTATTCAAAATTTCGCGCGTTTCCAGCGGCTCTACGGACGCGCACGAAATTTCCGAAAGTCAATAATTGCAACTAACTTTGGGACTTAGTCTTAAAGATGTGTAGAGAGAATCAACTACCTGTGTAAGCATCGTAATTTTCTACCACGATATCATTATTATCCAAGCTTTTTGACTAGTGGTAGATATATATATATATATATATAGGATTTTTGCGTGTTCTGCTCTATGCCATAGTTATGATTCGTATGTTCAATTTTCTGTCATAGAATCAACGATCTATATGACCTTTATCTTTATTTCTCTTAATTGATTTTAACTGACCAAAAAATGTCGAGTGTCATTTTTCTCTGAGTACTTTTTTTGGCTACGTGTTTTTCTAGGTCATATTCAATGGCGTTAGGATTTTCTATTATCGTTGTCACCAATAGGTAGTACATAGTCACATTGCGACGATCTGGTCACAAACACTTTTTTTTGCAATGATATCGGATCATATAGATCATTATCGATGGGGTGAGATTAATGTTTATCTAATTTTAGGCGCTAACTTGCGGGGACGGTTCGACTATATGGAACTAAAATATATCAACAGAGAATTCTCGAATCAGTCTCTCTGATGGAAACGTTTTTCAAATATCCAGTTCTTTTTGTCATAGATATAAAGCTTGAACAATGATATTGCTCGCTTTTAAATTCGGAATCTTCACTAATGAATAGTACAAAATGATTATTGTCAAAATAATAACGGTACGAGTCAGCGTGACAAAGACATACTCAAAACTTCCTTCCTGAAATATATTTCTCCTATATACAACACAATTCAACAGTTGTCATACAATTAAAAGTCAATGTATCTCGTTGCTGTTTCTTACGAGACATCATAGTACATAGTGAGTTCTTACTTGTATATCTCTTGTATGAGTTAAATAACGTCTTCCTGAGATTGTCATTTAGTGAGTTCACACCAGTCTCGGTGTCATGCAAGTGGACTGTCGTGTTTCAGGATCCAGGATTGTCGTGTCAATCGTTATTTTCAAATTGTGATGGGAATCTTATTACTGATTTTGTTATAAGGCAGTTTATTTCGACACTATCCATTGCTAAGCAGGTCTTATTTTGAGTGGTCACAACTGCCGCCATTATATGATAGCCATAGTTGCGGACGAGTTAAGGAGCAACGAATATAGAAATAAATAGTATTATTAAAATCCAATAATGCAAATCGATTCCAAGAACGATTTGGATGACATATATTATATATAACATTTAGTAAATATGCTTGATTCTCGGTCACGCTTTTTCGATGTTACCGACTATTTTCTCTTGTATTTTTTTCACCCATTTTTCGACCCAGTCACTATATGTCGTTTAGCCTTGACGCTTCCCCCTCTGTTCGTCGCCAATCACTCGATAACTTCTTTGCTTCTGAGCCGCAATTTATTTGTAAATGCACAGCCTTTCCGTTATTCTTCCTCGTTATTCTACACTATTCGATCTTCGCAAGAGGCTGCTTTGCAGAGAGAGAGAGAGAGAGAGAGAGCGAGAGAAACTGGTATATTGGGCATGATTATTATTATTTTATCCGTCAGATTTTTGCTTCGTTAATATTTTACCTGATATTTGATTCTTTTATTTTCACATAATACCAATGACAGTGTCGCTTCGAAATATGTTGCCTTTCAATATTGCTCAAACTCGGACCAGTCCTTCACCCATGATTTTCAAACGCAGGACGTATAAAAGTTTCGTATATATATATATATATATATATATATATATATATATATTACTACCGATTTGTTTGTTGGATCTGTTTTTATTTTCGGATAGCCTTGATACTGGTACCTTTGTTTCTAAAGAGATTGACTTCAGCCACGAACATCTGGATCCAAACCGAAGATTCAACAGCTATCTGTCTTTATTATTACAGTCAGAATACGTGGTGGTTAATTAAAGTACGTTCATTGTTGATGATACCGGAAAAGGTTTCGGTAACGGTAAAAGTATATAAAACCATATTTTACACTTACGCATGTCACTCTCCTCTTGACATGAATTAGACATCAAGTGGCACAGGAAGGCTTTCTTTGTAAAGCGTCAGAATCTTCATCGAGTGACCTATGACAGATCGATCATTTTCACGTTACATGAGTCTCGTCTGTTTTTGCTGCTTCTCGTTTATTCCTCGCTTTTGGTTTTGTCATGTTCAAATACTTCTTTCATGCCCATGTCAATTGATTTGATTGGTGTTTTGCTTTAATGTACAGGGTCGATCGATAGATAGCAGATGTCACGTGCTGCTTTACATTAGTTCGAATTTTGTGTTAGTGATTTGAAAGCTCTGCTGGTTTGTGTCAAGGTAATGTTTTTTTCCATTGATTATGTCTTCGACGGGGTCGTAAATAGCCGGCCCTGTTTCGAATGCGTCAGTGCCGTCTGTTCGAACAAGCTTTTCGAAAATTATCAATTTTTTCCGTGAGGTGATGAATTTATTGATCTGCGCTTGATGCGAATGTATTGCCGTTAGGTACTAGCTTGTTATGGACTTCAGTGCTGACGTTCGATTAGCGTTGAATTGCAGTCTAACCAAAATGCAGAAATACGTTACGGTCGGGTCGAGTCCACCTGGACTGAACCCTGGGCTGCGGGATCTGAAACCAATAACGGGAAGAGCAGGTCAAGATACGTATTAGCTAGAAAAATTGCACAGTGCTTCCTAAATTTGCTATGTTGACTTAAGGCTTCATTTGAATAAGTTTGTACTGACAGATGCTTGCCTATAGGAACAGCTCAATTCTTCTATCTTTAGCTTTATGAGAGTATTACTATGGTGCTAGTGTAGTAACTAATCTATATTCACTTCTAGGAAGTGCATATATACTGCTAGTCAAAAATATTGCACATATCAGCTTACTGAGGAGGTAAATGTTGCGTATTTTACGCCCGCTACTACCGTTAAGTATTGCTTCAAATAGCTGGTCTTTTCCAGCGCGAAACGAAACGTGCCCTTGCTAATGTTCAGGTTAACTTGCGTGTCCTAAAATTTACTAGGCAAATTCGTTTCCATTGCAGCATCTCACACGAGGTTATTTTAGTCTCAACCAAGAAGTATCTGTTATTATAATATTTCAGCCTTAATTTCTAATATTATGAGATTCAGGACTTTACGGTAGCGGTAATCAAAAACTCTTCAGTATGATTGCTTGATGCCAACAGTCAACTTCATTTACGTTCATTCTTCCACTAGAGACGATGGAAAGAGACACAGAAAAGCTTTTCTTTGCAGGGCCGAACAATTGGCGGCTTACTTCCCTGACAACGATTCAGTGTTTAAAAAGGAGGAACAGCAAATCTGAACGTAAAATATATATATAAAATATAAATGTAAGGCATACTTATATTATCAGTTTTTCCTGAATTAAATTACTTCGTAAGAGACCAAAATGTGCCTAGATTTTGAAATTCTGTTGAAACAACTAATGCTCGCTCACACGGACACAAATATCGCATTAAAGTTTAGACGCGGCCTCCAGCTATGGACCCGGTTCATCAAAGACAGACTGACATTTTCGTTTTCCGTCATTATGCCCATTTTCACGATTTTCTACCAGGGAGAGAGTTCAGGATGAACCAAAAGCGACGCAATATATTTTGCTAAGCCGGAAGAGGTTTTCTCTTAGAGAGCTTTATAAAAAAAACTTCGATTTTCTAGGGAAGGTTTGATTTGTATACATTTACATATGAAAGGCACTAGTCTAACCAGCAAGCACTAAACAAAATAACTTAAAGTAGAATACAATGTTGGACGTAAAGGTTGCCTCAAGCTTGCGAGATAGCAGCACAATGCGTAACTTATCAAGTCCACTTTTCATCGTTAAGAAGACTGTAGTGATGTCAGTAGCCTATTTCGTTGGCACACGTTCTGACTTCTGTGTGAGTATGTGTGTTCAACTCACAAAAAATTCCCTCGTTGCATAAAATCAAGGTAACCCATTATCTACTCTAATTTATTTCGCATTGCCTACATTACGTGGCAGTGCTGAATAAAAAAAAAATTAAATAACATCATTTTGCATTTTTTGATAATAAGACACTTAGAGATATAATGATGCGCTTGTAGATATGAACGGATAGTATGAGGCTCGTTGTATGGCGAATTCGCTTCGCACAAAAGCCCAAATGCGGCTGTTGAATTACTTTTAAAACGAAAACGTTCTAACTGTTATCGAATGAATCAACATAAACCATTGAAGATAAACGCATATCATTCTATAATGATCTTGTACCATCGCCCTGAGTTTAATGACTTCGTAACTAGTACAAAATCACTCGCTTTTTTTCTTCCTTTTCTGTTGCCTCGTTTGCCAATGCCTCTTTGTAGTAAAGTATAATTTCTATGACCTCTCTTCGAATGCTCGTTTGGTTTGCAAACGTTAGGCTATTTGTTTCATGCGCTCTTCTGTCGAGACCGTTTTTCTCGGACGGTTACGGCTGCCTGTCGAGCCCCACGCAAACATCGCGGTTTACAGGTGGATTTCCCAAGTTACAGATCACAAGAAAAAAACATATAAGATAATATCAGATCGTTTTGAATGTATCCTGTGTGCTTCTGTTGTTCATTCGTATGGAAGGTGCTTTTGGCAAAAAATGCCATTACAACTAACCCACATCGAAATCGGCCCCAGTAGATTTACTGCAGTTTGTGCGTGTGTGTCGCCCGAAAAACCTAGACATCCCTGCGTCGTACACATGCCGGAAGTCACAAACAAAATAGAAATAAGCGTTCATCTAGTGAGAACGGCCGCAAAAGTAACTAAGGTCTGTGGGCGTCGGAGTATGCTACGCTTTCAGCAATGAGACAGACGTTGGCGGCAATTTCTTTGTTGATTGCTACGCTAGGATCCCTGAACAGGTCAGAATCGAAAACAGAGTCGGACAGAGTATCACTAAAAACAATGACCTCTAACAACAACAACTGCAGTAGCAGACGAAAAATAAAAGGCCCAAAGAGACAGAACCACCAAATGCTCGCGGAGCATGGTATTAGGTTCTCAAATAGATTTCTTTTTGTTGTTGCCGCTGTCGCTGGAGAACATTCACAAAGAGCGATGGATATACTCACGATGCAAAAGGACGTATGTCTATACATATAGACATAGATGCTGGCACGGAAAATCTTACTCCGGCTGGAACGAGTTTTTCTCGCCAAGTACTGGTGCACACGTTAACTTCTATGCGGCCGTATCGTAATAATGGATTTGGGCATTGCTAAACAACTTACTAACCCGTCCGTTGCGATCGTAGAGGTAAGCAACGACACCAACACCAGCTGCAGGGATGCAAAAATCGGAAGGAAAAACACCAGCAATACAAATACATTGGGATGCTTTTCTGTCGTTGGTTCTGGCCAAGGTAAATGGCTAAAAAAGGCGCTTCGAAAATTGCAGAGGAAATACAATGGAAATGGGCGAGAAGGATACGGGAAAATCGCAAATGTACTGCAACAACCTACATAACACGGCGGAAAGCTTAAAGACTGAAAAAGAATAATGAGATAAGGCCACAAATGAAGGGAAGGATCAAAACAAAATGCGACGAAGCAGAAATTTATCGAAAGTGAGCTGCGACTTTTGTTGCTAGAATCGGGCATTGTTTAAGGCCACGGTGCAATTATAACGGGCTGTTATGCCTCCTAAGATGGCTGAATATTTTGGTATGGTTCAAGTCAGCATTTTTTAATTTTCGTACACATCGACGTCAGGCAGATTAGTTTATGAAATATATAAAAGGGGTTAAAGACAGATAAAAAATATCACGTAAAAAAGAAGAATCGCATAAGTCAATGATGCTATCTAAGTTTTGGGGCACTATGTAGAGATCCTATAAGGGTATGAATTATCGTATTTAGCATTGCGAATTGAGGACCTCATCGGTCACTCGATGTATGACTGCATTAAATAGATTTAGTAGAATAAACGAACTGAGGTAAGATGAGTACTTTCACTAAGAAACCTGGTCTTCGATCACTTCACAAAGTATATCCAACATCTTTCGCACTATAGATTTAGTTCATGTTCTCAGATCTACAAATCTACTGTGTTATTTATGTCCTCTAGGCCTGCTGACAAATATCCAGAGGGTTGTAAATTTGCAGGCCGGCGCAATGAAATCTTATTTTTGTTGTCCTGCAGATGGTCACTCACATCGATGGAGGAAGCACTGAGAGAAATGAATAATCTTGACCTATGCTTTATCCTTATAAATAAATAAAATAAACCTGAAACGGGTTAAATTCATTCTGATATTACATTTAAACAATACTGCCATGAAGCAGGGTATTCTCAAGAATGGTGCATCGCTAAAGAAAATCCACATAATCTATAGGTCAACTCGTTATTTAAATCATCGCGATGTTCACCGTTCATATCAACTGCATAGTACCGATTCTAACGACCATCATAATGGGTTTAGCAATGTTTTGGATATCTAAACGTTCCAAAGATAGTCCTTTCAAGGGGCTTTATCGAAGAGTTACAATTGCCGATATTTCGCTCTTTGTTCAAACGGAAACTTTTAGTGGACGACAATTTATATACTTTTGTCAATATCGACAAAAGTATGTAAATATAGTAATCATGATTCCGGATCAATACCGCAATTCAATTGAAGTGACTTTTGTGGAAGATCGTTATAAAAACATTCATTCTAACCAGTTGCATAGGCATATCTGCAAAATACTACTATATTCGTTGTTAATCCTGACTTAAAAATTATCTCAACTGAGAGGTAACTTCGTAGATTGACCATACTTGAAGGTCGTAACCCCCGTTCGTCAGTTTCCCATGGTACGACCTAAGCTAACCAAATGTGAGAACTATTTACGTCTTTCATATAGAAAAAACAAGATGGATTTTAGTGGACACCATTCTGCATGCCATACATGCACTAACATTTCGTATTGCATCCCATATGGCATTCAACGCGTATAAGACGTTTTTTTTTCTTTAGGAATAAATAAGAACTCTTTGATTGAATCTTTTTAAACCTTCTGTTCACTGCTATGTATAATAATTTCTTCGTGTAAAACGTTAGTACGTACTGAGTTGTTAAGTGTTAAAATATCTGTAACTTGCCTGGAACTGCTCGGAGCGGCCCATCCGGTCCAGAAGGTCCTCTGACCCAATAAAAGTTGCCGTATTCGGTTGTCTCTGATTCAGTGGTCCGCTGCCACTTTGTCCAAGGGGTCCTGAAACGCCGTTAAGTCCTCCATCCGAATCCTCAACATCCACCTTATCTAGAAGATCCAACCTGTGTCGCAAAAGAGCCTGTAAATTCAAATGAGAACGTTAGTTGTTATAGTAAACTAATTGTTCAATAGATTTTTTAGTTGTGTGCATTACGTGTGGTAAATTCTAATGGATCACTTCGAATCAGTTTGGGAGTTATTTCAAATCGTCTGCTTAGTTCATAAATGAGCTTCTACCGGGCTCGAACATAATGCATGCCATAAAACAAACGCATCTAGATATAAATATGCTAACAAAACTAAGGACAATCATGCACCTGTTGGAAGATCGGAGAAGGGTATGTAATGGTAAATCGCTTCTGTGAAGCGGGTCGAATCTCTTTTGTGTCAAGCCCAAACTCCACTCGAAACCCAGCACCGTCCGCATCACTCAAAATTGATCTAGAACAAAATTGGCCTGACGACATTAGAAATGCTGTGAACAACATATATCGTATAATATATATATATATATACACCGACTTTTCTTTTATATACGTATGTATGCATAGATAATGCTTTCTTATCGACGAATGACAAGGTGGATCACATAATTACTTTCATTAGCTTCGTTAGTCATTGTTACAGTTATAATATACCTTCGCCTTCTTTCGTGAAGCTGATCCTGTTGATCTACCAAGAAACTGTTATCCTCGACGTCTACTGGAAATGTCCCACTTCCAAGTTCCTGACCCAACTCCGCCCTTTTTCCAAAGTGCATAAAGCGATTGGTAGACTTTTTGCCGAAGTGAACGTATCGGTTCTTTCCGGAATTCCGCTTTAGGAGACGATCCATATACGACGAAGCAGTGGAGTCACTGTCGAGACCGAGTTCGTTTGAGGACCGCTTGCCGAAATGCATATATCTAACATGATTATTGTCGAGTTAAAGCTTTTTACTAGGTCTAATTTAGGTTGACGAATATCACATTCTGATCCACATATGCTACCCATAAAAGCACTATTAATGAAAAAAAGGCCACACTCACTTCTGGCTCTCAGCGCGCTTCTTTCCAAAGTGCATAAAACGATTGTTGTCTAATTTCTTAACGAAGTCATCATCCAAAGCATGTTCCAGATTTGTGGCTGCATCCGCTTGCTCGTCATCGCGTTTGCCGAAATGCATGAATCTATACAATGAGAGTCACAAAGGCGTTGTTAATTAACACACACCATGTAGATAGTAACTTGTACGTTAATTAAATTCTGCAAATTGCCAACTAGCTTATCGTTTAACGTCGTACGGTAGAAACAAAAACAGTTCTAAAATAGCTAATATAGTCTTGGCTGCCATAAACAGACGAAGCGAAACATTGTACATCATAGGCCTAATTGGATCAGTCGGTGTAAAATGTTTCGAACGGAAGTCAACGAGAAACAGTCGACCAGTTCACATGATAAGGTGCGATTAATAAAATTTCTTATATGGCGTTCGACTGTCAGGCTAACTACGAGCTAAATGAAGCTCGGTCAGCGGAAGCTTCAATGATGCGTGTTAGTGTTGCTGAAGCTGCTTTTAACTCTACACAACTCTAATGACGATAATAAGAAATACCGGGCATGTGGGCAAATAGACTCGCGTACTTACCTGTGTAAACACCCCCAAAAAAAAAAGACAGAAACGAAAAAAGAAACCTCAAATAGGTTTATCCGTATCAAATTGTATCATCTTTATTCCACGGCCCCTTAAGGAAGATTTAGAATCTTCGAACGGGTTCAACGATGCAGGTAAGCAAAGGTTCTGCTAACACAGGTCTTTAATAAGAAAATCGCTATATGCTAAGTATGGTTTGATAGCTCCAGGAAATCGGAACAAACACTGGTGTATCGAGGCTAAAACAAGTTCCTTTTTTCCATGGCGACAAGGACACGCGTACTCCTTAATTGTGTGAAGGATGTACGGAAAAATCAGGTTCGATTTGAGAAAATACAGACAATCCAATTTGTTGATGCCTTGATGCGAAGATAATATAACTAAAGAATTTTTATAGATTTTTTAATTACCATGCGTTTCCTATCGGTCTATGTGTCTGCTTCGTGGAACTCGTGAGGACGACTAAAAGTAAAATGAATTTAAACATTGAATACAGCGCAACCAATGACATGATTTTCAGATCACAATACTGACCTGTTGACATGTTTGTTAGGGTACGATTCGAAATCACTCTGGTCGAATATCTTCTTGCCGAAATGTAGGAACTGACTGTCAGGATTTCGCTTACCAAAATGCATGAAACGGTTCGGGGAGCGCTTTCCTGAAATTTTATTCAAAACGAACAGCTCGAACGTTGAACCGTATAGCAAGACACATCTGGAGTCCTTCACACAACGTAATACGAGTAGATATACGTGCCGTACATGGTAAATTAAGTTGTGCTTGTGTGATTTAGCTATTGCACGATATATACATATCGTTTTGCCTGATAGAATACGATTGTTTGAACGAAAAATTAATCAATTCGATCACTGCAGATGCTGGCTTGAGCTAGAAGATTAGCTGTCCGCTCAGTATAGAAATAGCGACGATTGTTGTGGTTCCCGAGACTCCGGAAAAAGAACACGGCGCAGTCACAACTTCCATTTAAAACCCTAGTGAAAAGACTAGTCAATGAAAAGCCATCGACCCTACTAAGTACAACAATATATGCCAAACTGTACATATAGAATATGCAGCAGAATTATGCGTTCGTTGTTCGAAATTGAAAAGTTTCAGTTCGGTCACCAGCCTCAAACTGGCAAAAAGTTGAAACACAAAGTGGACGCATAAAGCAACAAGCTTAAGGCTCAGATACAGATTAGTAATCGTGCTTCCGTTGTTGAATCAGCCCACGTTTTTTACAAAAGAGGATACACACGAACAGGGTAAAATATGCGCGAAGCGTGCGCCCTTCATACTGCCATCGAGAGAAAATCGCTGCCCTGCCTAAACAGCGCACCAAACGTTACGATGAATCCGTGTCTCCTCTATAGGACCTCAACAGCCGCAAAGCTGCCGCCTGACATTGAGTTTGAAGGAAAAGTGTTAAGCGTGGCTGAGAAGATAGTTTCTATTTATATGTATAACGACTCAGTTTTGATTGCGCAGTGCATCGTGCTGTTTATTTAACAGAGTTCATTGAATGTTTATGGCCATATGCAATCAGTATGGCTGAGTCAGTTCAAGAAATGGGTATCTGTTTTAACGTTCTTCCGTGCCCTGCTAACTGTTAGCAAACATCTAGCGATAGTCAGTGAGAAAATGCTTAGGACACTCTTATATACAATTTAAGATGTTATTTTGAACATCTCATCCATAGCCTGTAATCAGAGATTCCCAAATAGCATTTTGGACAGCGACAATTGAGTGCAAACATTTTCTGTGTTCTAGCTGATATAAAATGGCGTCCGCCCAATGAGTCTAGCCAGCTTGAAGTAATGTTCCACGCTTAGCATTACTGCTAAAATTACATATCAACGGAGAGAGCGACTACATATTTACCAAAATGTAGCATTCGATTTTGTCCTGCCCGCTTGGCGGGTTCGTCGAGTTGCCGAAGGGCTTCGTTCCTATCAGGGGCGTCCTGATAATCAGCGAAAGTGTTGTATCGCTTACCGAAATGTAGCATCCGGTTCTGTCCGGCGTGCTTATCCATATCGACGGCAGATGGAGCTGATCCGGTGCTAAAGGCCTGAATTCAAATGATGCAAAGTAATAACAAAGTTGGGTTTAAAATATGACCAAGCAAGAATTTTGGTTATTTTGCCTGAAACTCGATGTGAACCTGAAATTCTATGAACTCTTCTAATTCGTTGGTAGTTGTAAATACAGAGATAGTAAGAATTAGCTAGTTATATCCTAGCAGAAGAGTCGCCTTCGTATGATCTAGACGTACACAAATAACATGATAATAGGATTTCCGTTTTATAATGGCCTTTCAGCCCGCTCTTGTCCCGATGAGTTCGGAACATTTGTTCTATACCCTAATGGGCAAGAGGTCGTGAATTTTCAACGTTCTGGCGCCAAATTTAGAATGGCTTCCCGTCGCAATCTATGTGCAACATGTAGTAGCGTGAAGATTTGGATTAGTTGTTCCGGAGCAGTATTTTTTCTTGAAGTATACGTGCGTAATCATGTAGGTGTTTATATTATTACAGCCCCCGTTCAGACTTTTCATTTTTTATACAAATAACGGTCGCCAGACAGATTGACGATAAAAGGTATGTAGCCTAAGCTAGATTTCAGTTAATCTGAAATACATGTACTCACATCTAGTTCTCCTCTCTTTCGTCCGAAGTGCATGAACTTTTGTATTTTTACGGCGCGTTTACCAAGCAACATTTCACTGTTTCCGATGAGCATCGAATCATCGTTAACGTCTTCAATGTTCTTGGACAAAGCTTTCGAGCACCAGCTGAAATAAATGACTCAATTAGATCCGTACGTATTGAAATGCTACAACTCCTTCCTACACGACGTATGCTAAAAGAAGCCCGTTCTGTAAATTTAGTTTTTGACGAACGCTCGAATCATCTACAGTCTAGGTTCATATATAACTAGATTATGTGCTTGTGTTTCACTCCTTGGCAGGAGATTGGCTAGGTGTTCTATCAGGTTATGCGCGCATCAGGGGGGTAAGTGCATTTGCAAATACTTTTCGCATTAATCAAAGGTTGGGCCGCAGGAAATGACCCAATTTTGCCTACTAGTTCCAAATATAATTTTTTTCCACTGTTGTAAACTCTTAGGATAAATTTAGCTTTTTTTTTTTAGATGATAACACCTACTAAGGCCCTTGCCTATAACATCGGCGTTTGGCCCAAAAGCGCTTGTTCGAGAGTTGTGAAGGGCAACAAAATTAATGAGTTCGTGGTAGTTGACGTTAGGTTTACAGTGGCACTAGGAATAACGGGTGTCTTTCGACGAACATAGGAAAGGGTCATAAAACGGGCCTGAGATGGTGTTAGCAAATAATGCCATGACAACCAGAGCAAAGTTCGAACGAGTCTGTACTATATTTACTCGAAGTCACCAAAATATTTAGGCGAATATAGATTACGATATAGGTCACATAGACATCGCCTGACGCTTCCTTCTCCATCTCCAATTATTTTCTAATTATTTTCAATGCTAATTAGTAGAGTTGTTACGATAATAACTATGACCTATCGAAATCATTGAAAGAAAAATTCGTCACGAAGAGAAACGAAGCAAATGATATAAGTTGATTGCATTAGTAGTATAAGCATTGGTCGCAGAGAAAGGGATCTAGCTTTGTCCTTGATATATGCTCTATATGTTATACATCTTAAGGCACCGCATTTACTTTGGTGACCAATAATGGCACGTTTTTGATGTACGGAATTCATATACAAGCACTGCCAACAACATAGATACACGCATACAGGTCTAAAAAAGTTACGAAGGTTCAAAGAGTACGATAATGCTTGCTGTAAGTATGATTAGAAACCGAAAATAGGGAACCAATAAAAATCGTTTGTTACATTCGAAGTTTACACTAAAATGCCCAGAGGTTATTTTCAAAGCCCTCATTGAAACTTGTTTATAAATTTTCTCATTGCATACACGCCTCGGTGGTTAACTATTTCGGATTAATATATGTATACACTGATAAAGGTAATAATTATATTGCAGAGTTAAACGGGTCCCGTATTTACCGTAGGCAAATAGAGACAAAAGACCTTCATGACTCAGGATTACGCTGTCAAAAAAAAGAAGAGCTATGATGATTCCTAGTGCTTCTACGATGCGAATGGCTACGGACAAGCCACCCGCTTTATGAGCATTGCTTCTCGTTTTTCGAGGTCCGATTACGGGATTCTCAAAGAGCAGATATAGCCGCGATCCGGGCGAAGATCCTTCAAAAAACGAGGCCGGAAAAGTCCTCTGAAGTTTCGCCTGATAATATCGTATATTGCTCCGATCTGCTGACACGGGTATACTCTTTTTCTTCACGTCGGTCTAGCAAAACTTTTTTACATTATAGATTCTTATAGAGAAATATTAGCGGCCTCGAACGGAGGGATAAACTGAAGTTGGCAGCTAATGCCTGGCAGAAAAGAAATCCCAGAATAGAAGGAATCGAAAAGAAAAAAAGCTAATCGACTTCATGTTATCATTAAAAAATCGTATATACGATATCGTATGAAACAAGCACTTTACAAAGGATAACGATAAAGTCCGTATTAAACAAAGCACATCAGAGTATTTAACTGAAACAGTGAGTTTTGTCGAAGATAAGTTTGCCCCGAGGCCTATTATGCTAATGCTATAACCGATACTGACTTACTTTCTCCCTTGAATCGCGTAGCTTCCTCTCTATCTCGTTTAAATCTCAAAGCCTCGTGAAAACTCCTATCCGACTTCCACTATTAACAGCGCACTGAGCACTAAATAGCACGTACGCATGAGTGGGGTGGCAAGTGCCGTAATGTTACATGCATCTGTTTGCGGATACTGCAAATTGGCATGTCCTTCAAGCAAAGTGTGTCATCATCACTTCTACTACTTTAACGGTGAATGATCTTTTGCTCTATTATTTAGTCGGGATGGCCGCGCCATCTCGAGCGTTTCCATTCGAAACGTGGGTTCTTTTTCGCAGGTATCTACTACTGAATCTACTAGATTCGTTGAATGCAGTGTTAACATCCTGTCATCACGAGTGGCACGACCATGTACAACTAGAGCAAGCTCGAGTAAAAATACGAGTCTGTAATCTATAGATTAACTACATATTTATAGTATAATTTCCAAACGTAAACACTTCACCCATGTAAACAGAACAAAAATAATCTTCGAGACAACTAAATAGCAATAGGTTTCGTAATCTACGAAAAATCAGCGGCGTCACTATAATCATCATGTCCACGTGCACCAACAAGTCCGATCATACGACAGAGTGCAGCACGTACTTGGCTAGAGCGGTCTGCCGCTCCTCCGGACTGAGGTTGTCGAGGGCGAATTGAAACAGAGCCGCGCAGTTTTCGAACGTATCGACAATCGACGCCTGCGAACCCCCGAACGATTGCTGCGCCGAAGAACTTGGGTACCGTGCGTCGCTGCGTACGTTAGGTAGAGAGAGATCGTCTGAAAATAAATAAATTATATTAGCTCAAAGTAGTACTTTCCTATGAAAGAGTGAATATGAAGCATCAGCTGAGACAGGCATATTTAAACTTGTTACTAGTAGTAGTAGTAAGTTGAGTCTATATGCCATCCACTATCAGGCAATACGAAAACAAGAATAACAGTAGTTTAAAGTGATTAATTCCTTAAAGGACAAGTCCATAACTAATGTTATAATTTCACTGAGGTCCATAACATGAAGGTCGCTATTCGACTATTACATATCTGACGATATTTTGGCCATCTTTCTTCGTGTCAGTACATTGTTCCTTACGACTAGAATAACCAGAACTGGACGCTAGACAAGGGGAGAATAGAAAGCACAACTTATCTGCCACTAGCGGCCGTCCGGTTGCAAGCGATGTTCTTCAACTCAACTCAGTTCAGATGTCACTTACCGTTTAGGTTTTAATTTACGGGAGGGTTAGTTTGCTAACGGCAACCCTGTAGAAAAAAATATCGATGTATTTATAAGCGTATAAAACAAATAGTCCTTTCAAAATAAATTATCCTTAAGATCGTATTTTTATTATGCAACTGACGGTTCTCTTTTTTTTTTTTTGTCTTTTCCTATAGCCAAAATTTGTGGTCTACGATATTGTAAACTCTGATCAGATACATCCAACTTTATCTTTGCATAGGCATCGGCGCTCGCTCTTGAATGGTAGTAGCCCACGCGACACTCTTCGTTGGTTTTTCTTCTTCGAACGCAACAGCATACGATAAATATGAGAAGTGCGCTGTGGTAAAACATGGATTAACCCGTCAAAGGTCACCGTTCATAAGAGTGGATTAAATGGAACCGCAATGCCGCCCTAGAATATTATAAAGAGAACTTTGGAATCAAACAGCTAGTTTAAATGAAGACGAAAGAAAAGAGTCACTGGGACAAGATCTGTCCGTTTTTTTTTTGGCGTTATCTTTCTAGTAAATAGAAGACCGAGGCAAATGGAATATTAAAAAAAAATATTCATTTTAATAGTCGTTAGATAAACACGGCTATTTAAATGACCATAACTATAAAAGATGCTAGTGTCTTTAACTTGATTTATCGTGGCAAGTACAAATTTTTAGACTGTATATTTCTTCATTAGAAGCGTGTAAATCCCAAATTCCTAAATTGGTTTTTATAGACCTTTACACGTCCTATGATAATCTTAATAATAAACAATTGTATGAGTCCAGTCTAATAATATATGATTCGTTAGTTTAAGAGTGCCGAGATCAGTGAAGGCCCAAACGATGCTTTCCTTTTTGCTCGTCGTTTTGACAAATCTGTATATTTGCTCCACTCTATGCATATATATATATATATATATATATATATATATATCAAAGTCTGCTTCACAGTAGCTATATGACGTCATCTTTAAGGGATCTACACGGATCCTTCGTGTAGGACAATTCCATGGTCGGGTGAAAAGTGCTTTATCTCGCTAGATGTACACCGACATATATATAGATACAAATTGGCTGTCTGTTATGGTTTTTCTATGTTGTCCCCGCTGTTGATCGCATGCTCCCTGTTTGCGAAAAAGAACGCTGATCAACCTAAAACACATAGACGAACTTACGTATCTGTCTTCGCTTGTCTACTCTACTGGGAAACTTTCCGCATGTACGCACGTTAATAAACAGAACGTTCTGTTTGATGCACCAGAAAAATCACACCGGGCTGTGTCTAGCGTATGCAGGTACACCGCGGGCACATTGCGAGTACTCTGAGCTAGTGAGCGACAATATATATTTCCCTGTTAGATATCAATTTCTTCTATTTAATAATCGGAAATCACTTCGAATCGTTGTGCAATGCATGTTATAGGTTTTACACTTATCATGCCTGGCCTGGTTTTAGCATGGCAGTCCTGATCTTGTAGAAAAGTTAGTGCATTTGTGGCACATGTATTAGTATTCGTTCGTGTTATTATCAATAAATTTTATGTACGTGTACGTGGTGCCACCGCAAGACTCGGGCCAGCAATCAAAGACGGAAATGAAAGAAAACTTTCCTTTCTGGCTGGAAAAATGACAGTAGTTTACGAATACACCTAGGTTTTGAAGGATCCCAACTATTTGTCAAAAACGAGTCGATTTCGTTAGGGCAGCAGGCGCAATGTTGCTGTATGAGACAAATATGATCATTTGTGAAACTTTTTAATTTTCAGAAAACTACAATTTGGGCACGTAACGATTAGAAAGGTCCTCCGTTCGGCACTTAACAGCAACGTTCCTCGTTGCTTCAGCTTGAACGATTACTAGGATTACGTCGTTAAATTGCTTGCGGCGACAGCTGGAACCCAGTTCAGTTGCAGCGTAGCCGGGACATGTCTAAAACTTACGATTTCAGGCAAAGGATTTCCAATCAAATTTGAATAAAATCGGCTTAAAAAAATGATACGTTCTTTTTTCTCATACAGCCAAAAGCTGCCTTGCAGGTTTTAACTTGCGTACCTGTTCTCGCTTGAATTCTAAGTTTAACCCGCCATCCAAGTTCTATTAATAATAAATACGTTCATTACTTTATATAGATAATAGAATAATGCAAATTATGAAATTTGCACATAAACCCGAAATTCTTATTTCATCCACTAAATAGCGGCTTCAAACACTTGGTTAATAAACAAGAAATCTAAATTAATTTATTGGTAAAACGGAAATGTTTGGAGAAGTAAAACGAGGAAGCAAGAGGGGCGGTAATCTAGTCACTTATCACAACCTGAATGATCGACTGGAATTGGCGTATTATTAGAAAGTTTTTAAAATTATATTTCTTGCACTTTTTTAAGTATTGATACTAATAATGACTATTTTGGCCTACAATTCTGTTTTTACCTGGCTTTGTCCCAAACGATATATTCGACCGCGCAGCGCGTTCAAATATTGCCTTTCGGGGCCGTTTAGCACATATACAACGACAAAGTGCCCATATACCAACCTTGCCGGTTTTACTTCCCTTTCTTTTTATCCTGATACTCCTAAAATACGACCCTAACTATACGTCTAAGTGCATCGTTCACCAGTTCCAAATGGAAGACTTCGAGTCTAGTCTAAATCGAAATTTTTAAGGTAATAGACAAATTACAAGTTTATAGACGTTCGAAGCGTTCATGGGTGCAGGAACTAAACATTGGTACGTTTCGTTAGAGATGTTCTTAACGAAAAACCAAAGCACCACGCCTGACGCCAAACAAACCGGAGGCCAAAACCATTAGGGCTGAGTGGAAAACGCAATATTGGGTGGGTGTAGAATGGTAACATGACGTTTTTTTTTATACTGAATGATACTAGCTCGGGGTCACTTGTGGCTTGGATTTTTTATTTAGTGTTGGGTCACACACAAGAATACACGCAGACGCCTGTATAGCGACGAGGCGCCGTCGCCAAGATACGACTATGTTGAAAAACAAAAAAACAAACAAAGCCATATAGAAAGCAGGAAAGGTACAGGCGTTGTACACCGAACAACTATGCAATACATACGAGACAGAATAGGTTTAGCTGACTAATTGACAGGGTTATTAATTAGTTCTGTTATATTACGTTGCTTTACTTCATCGACGTTCCATGGAAACATTGCGTTAGTCGCTCGGCTTTTTGTTGTTTGTATCATTTCGAGTTTCCGCATTGAAATTAACAAACACTCGATAGGGCACATGCATATATAAGCTTGAGTTTCTATCACAGGATTTGCCGTTATTTTTATACCAGCATTTAAAGATAGGCGTGATTCTGGACTTTGGTGACGATGCTGCCACAACAAGACGTCTGAGCGAACGTTGATGTTTCGTATGGCATTCTATCACAAAGATTCTATATCTACAGTTGCACCTACTAGCTAAAGTTCTTCTCTACTTACCACCCAGTCTGGTAGTTGCTGATCGTTCTCTGGCGGCATCTGGTGACGCCGCGAAGCGTGCAGCTTGCGCCGATTCGGTTGAATTGATTAGGCCCCCTAAGAGCCCGCAGGCCAGCAGGCCCGTCAAGGGGGGTAATACACACTTCATAGAACGACTACTCGAGCTCGCTCGTACAGCGGCGGTTAGCCGTAAATCGGCGGCGCGATCCGCTGAAAAAGCGCACAAGAATGGAGCCGAAGCCCATATGAGTATTGCTTGAAACAGGTTAAAGTTCATAAGACACTTATTGTAAGTCTCGCGTCTCGTTAATATGACGTACGCAAATACAGTTCTTGGAAATAAAGCTCAGTCAACAAAGACAGAAAAGTGTTGGTCAAGTACCTGGTGGAGACGGCTCCTGTGGCATACGGATGCTCAAGTATCAAATGTATGATAATAAAAAATGCCAGTCAGTATGCTACTTTGAAGAAAAAGGAAGCAAATATATGATGTTACCTAAGTAGGCGGGTGTTGTAAGACGATAAAACCTGAAGGATCATTCATTCGCTTTCTCTCATGGTATTGACGTGTTTATGATCAGTTGAGCGGTCGGAAAGCAGACAGAGTATTATGGAAGTATCAGAAAAAAAATTGGTTACTGTTGAACGAGTAGTAATAAATAGTAGTTAATAAAGAATTTTGAAATTCAGCATTCACTGTTTACTATTTATTAATTCTTATATAGTGCTAATATGAAGACCCCTTTTCTGCAGGTCATACTTTATGCGCTCATGTAGATTCATTTCACGCAAATCGTGCATAAATGTTCTGAATTTCTCGACTTGGACAAATGATCTCTAATGGCTTTCATAGGCATAGATATTATAGCTCGTTTCTATCCCATAGCCACTATCGTTTTTATAATCGTTGTACCATGCACGCACTTCTTCAGCTTTTATAGCTAGAATAGATCGTCTTCTCCAACAAGTGACTTTGACAATGACTCGCATCTATTGGGGTACTCTACGCACTTCCGTATCATTTATGTCAATTACGTAGGCCCTTTAGGAATTTCTTCGCCTTATGACATGTCGAACTGACGTGATCGTTTGCATTAGTACAGCCCGCTGCTGTTTTTCTGTCGTTGCTTTTCCGGAAATTCTCCGTAATAGCTACAGATAACGATCCACTGGCTCACTCGTTTCGCAGAAGCCATTTGCACTTTTATATTTAGCTGCAACGTCTATGTTAGGTGATTCTGCTATCAGCGCTATATCTGCTAAGATACTTGAATAGAAGCTGGGAGCAGTCTGCTTCCAGAGGAAATAAAAGTGAAAACAAGGACAAACGCGGGCAGGAAAGCTATGTTTATCGGCAGTAGTGCAAAACACTAGGAAGTGTACAACGTAGATTTAGTCAGCCTCAACTTTCATACCGTACTTAAAAGAAAAAACAATAAAGCTGTGACCAGCTTTGGAGTCTGGTCAGAGTGGAAAATTATCGAGGTACATGTTTTCTTTCTTGTTAATGAAATGATTTAGTGTTTCGAAGAAATCCAATGAACGACTCTGACAGCTAAAACTATTCATGCTTTAAAGTTTAATGAACTCATTATAGAACTTAAAGGAAGGAGCACGACATGACACGAGTTTAGTAATTGAGTAAATAGAAATCATAATACGAACAGTCAGCTAAGTATTAAGAGCTGTCGGAGGTGATTCAGGGGAATCCTGACGCAAAAGCCAGACAAAATTGAGGCCAAATAATTCTAACCACCCATATAATTCTATAAAGAATATTTCAGTTGAGTAGATCAGCATGAGGTCCTGAATTAGACGATATTCTACGATTCAACTTCTACGATGCCTAAATTGTTACGATTGGTTATTTTGACGCTAAATAGGACCTCTTAAAATCCGATTGGTTTAACTTACATTTATGATCCGTATATGACCGTAAAATTTGATCAAAGCAGTACAAAAAGACAAGCGTCGTTCCCTGTGTAGAAAAGCCTGCTCATAGCTAAAACTACAGGCAGATTATGCGCATTAAAAACGTCAGTTTTTATGGACTGTTTATAGGGCTACTTCAGTCGTGACTCACATAACGGGTAACTTCGAGGGGAAATTTCGCTTATTTGACTTAGTCGAATCGTTACCACTAATTAATACTCAATGAATCATGCTGCAGATATTTAACCAATAACGAAGATGTTCGTGAGAAAGGGTTGACGAACAGAGTGTTAACTGTCGTATAGGAAGATCGTCAGAGAAGACTACGATTCGAAAAATATGCACATGTGTATAGTATTATGTAACTGTACAGAAGCAGCGAACACCGCTGAGACTGATCTCTGGTTTTTTTTTGAATGCCATGCACGTTTTTGTGTGCGATTAAATGGATTTTTGCTTCTACGAAAGATCCAAGTAGAGAAGAGGACATAGAGAGCCCTTAAAGGTCCGAGCGGCAGATGGGAAATGATACTGTAAACAGACATTACAAAGCCATGGACATAGACTAACCCATGTCTATGCTGGGTGTACAGCCGATCATTTAGACGACCAATGTCGTACATGTGAAACAAAACAGGATAGATGTGCATAGAGCATGCTGGCGCCACTAACTTTTTTCAGGCACTTGCCACAGATCTTAATATAAGCAGAAGACTTTTGAAAGTATTGGCGCAGCTTCTTCTACCTCATAAAGTTTTTTCCTTATGGTCCGTAGAAATACGGCCTTCATGAGAGAACAAGATAACCACAATTCGCTATTTTTACGCCCAGTCGTTGGTTATTATGATTGTGACGATAATTGCATTGTGGTTTTTCTCGACACTTCACACAGAACTTCACATGTAAAGTTCCTTTACTGAAGTAGCCATCCTGTACCCATCCATCATCAGTCGTTCTATAAGGGGAATATATGCTAAGCGTTAACTCGCCAGCCGTTTAGTCTCTCTTGATATCCTTGAATGTATGGCAAATGCCCCCTATTTTGGTGATACCGCGAACAAGCCATGTACAGTTGTCCTGCCGTTCCTCTGCTGCTTGGAGGCGAGCAACTAAATGCGAGGGGCAACCTTAAAATAGCACATTTAAAAGGGGGTGAAAGTATACGCATTCGTAGCTTGCGCATTTCCTTGTGGGACCTGTTGCATGCGACACATGAAAATGGGCTCAACGAGTGAGCCTTAAAATAGGTTCCTTGGCTTAATTCATTATTTCCGAACACCTAATTTATTATTATAGATTATATGGATCAATAAATCTATCGAATGGGCGAACTCGATACGTCGATTGGTAATAATGCCTGAAAGAGATCTTACTTGCCTCACTCGTGATTCCATTAATACCTTTCGGATCGGATTTATTGTTACTATCAAATAAAAGGATAGACACCACGTTGTGACAGCTCCTTCTGTGCTTTTATTTTTATCACTCCGATACCGCCTGTTATCCTACAAGCATCTAAACCCGGACAAACATCTAGACAAGGCACCGTTGTTTTATAAACATCAAGATATTTAAAGATGGCGCAAAAAAATGCCATCTATTATTGCTAACCAATAATCTGTCTTTCATATATTTAGGACTAAGTATTTTAAACAGTTAAACTGTATTACCTGTTTTCAAACAAGAGTGTCGAATGGATAATAGTAATCATCATAATACTCTGCTTGAAAAATACACATTAGGGTGTGTTTGTCACCACCCTGACTTGGGTTTCATCTGAAAGATACAAAAGAGGATCTATCAAATTATAGACTGTCGCTCTTAGGAGAGGTCTAATAAAGGCTGCGTAATCTCAACGCTGATAACATTTCGCGGTAGCATAAGATGGACAATCTATACACGCAAAATGCTGATTTACAGAGCTTGCCTAAATACAGAACTGCTTCGTATCAGACAGTTCTAATCTGATGGTTCATTTTATTCCTTTTATAGATAGATTTAGCACAAAATATTATATATATATATATATATATATATATATATATATATATATATAGATCTAGTGTCTTCAAGTGTAAAAAATCTTTTAATTTTTTAAAAATATTCGGCCACAGATTGTTCCGAAGCCAGGGCCAGGTTGTTCAAGCAAGCACCGAAGTTGCAGTATCCTTTTGTTTTAATCATTTTGGACAAAGTCAATTTTCATTTTATGTAGGTCAGAAAAGCTAAAGAAGGCCATCTTCGTATAGGCAGCAGTTTACATATTCGGCGTAGCCTGAACGCCTAATACGCTTCTTTTTAAGTGGTAAGGATAAGTAATAACTACTCTGGTTTAATTCTTAACGTTATTAAAATCGCTCACAAAAAATTAGTAGCCCCAAATACAGGCAAGCCTTTGACGCTATACCAAAAAGGAGGTGATTTCGTAGAGCTACTAATACTAGAAGCATAACACATCCATCCGGTTTTGAATTCCCAATAATTTTCGCTACCAACCATGCCGTTACTTGCCCATATCACTGCTAAAAACGTTACTTACAAGCCTGTAGATAAAACGAAAATGGAATCTGTTATTCCGCAAGCGATAATGGTTAGACGAGTACAATCGTATTATTGCAACGTCAGATTATACGCAATTGGAATAGCATCAATATAGAGCCTATTATCTAGTAAGGATGAAGGACGCTTACTTACCCGGCCATAAGGCTTTCATTATGAGGGTTTAATTTCGGCATAAATAGCATGCATTTAGAATTTGATTTTGGGTCAATGAAGTACCGAATCTTTGTGAGTTTCCAAATTTTAGAGTGTTGCAAATGCTTCTGTGAGTCTTCTATTGCTATCTGACATACGCCTCGCATTACTTTTGCGAATAGATACGTTAGCATTTTCGCGGGGCTTTCTCTTTCTCTGCCGGCAACGTCGATGGAAGGTTCATCACTACGGGCCTTTCGCGCTCGTTTCTGCTGAAGGAAAGGGAACGCGGATTCATAACAGGCCGCCGACGTGGCCGGTGATCCTATATGCATGAATTGCCTGTTTGAGTTTTGAGGGATTCGATCCTACGGGCCACTGAGTCCGTTAAATTTGAGACAACTGTTCTAATTTCTTCTGTGATCGCGCTACGATTTCCATCGTAGTAGACTTATATCTGTGGGCTTACAAATAAGGTTAACAGGCTTCCTGTGTCAATTTCTACTTTGGTTTTTGACACCTTTTGTTTATGATACGTGTTTAAAAAACTTTCCACCTTTTGAAACCATCTCGGTAAATATCTTCCTTTCTTTTGCTGTCGACGATCTCGTAACGCCTAAAACTCCGTGTTCTTTTATTTTGTAGTTACGTAATTCTCCGCAACATTGGAACGCTTTCTGGTCCTGCATTTGGAAACTGCGTAGACGTTCGCGCTTCTCAACGCTAAATATAACCCCTAAGTGTTGCGAGGTTGGTGTACGTATGTAGTGGTACGCTGTAAAAACACCTGCTGACTCTATCTAATTTGAGTCGACAATAACTTAGAACATTTTGCTAAAACGACCTAGACAATAGATATCTAACCCTTAACGTTGCATCGACTGTAAGTTTAGCTGTCAATCGAAAGTTACAGTTAGACCTATCGCATTTACCGAAAGGTGAAAATTTCTTGAAAAATTGAGATCAGATAAAATCACATACTGACGAAACAACAAAACCTTTTCTTTCTTCTATTGTGACTCTACGTTTGTCTAAATCTAAATAAATTAAATATAAATCTCTTAGCGCTTGCATTCGTTTCGCCCTAGAATCCACAAGTAATCGTTTCCCTCTGAAGGTAAAAGAACTATGCCCATGAAATGGTCAATATTTTTCATAAAGCCACAAGTATATTAAATAAATATTTAGATACATTTATTAAAATCGAAATTAACTATTGGGTGTTGCAACTAGAGCGTGTCAATATACAGAACGAAACAAAGCTGACTGTTAATATGCACTTCCATGAGGTTAAATAATCCAAAAGGCACTGAAACTTTACCCTCTTGAATCAACGGCGGCCAATCGAAGGTGGCCAACACCGGACAACAACTTTGCTTCCTATTCAGACGACATATTGGGGAAGATGTGAAATCTTCCATCGATCACAGCGTACTTCTCCTTATTCATAGATAGGAACCTGCCTTACACACGCTTTATTGTTAACGATGAAACACACGATTAAGCAGATTGTACGGCAAGACAACGTTTGCCTACTTGTGTCTATGTATAGTTGAAGTTGTAGAAAATCGCTAATGCCCTCCTCTTATCGTTTGGCTGATACATCACCTTTAAGCAACCGGTTCCTACCAAGGGGGTGGTTCGCTGCTATAAACTAGAGTTAGGAAATACAAGGATACGAAAGTACGTTGAAGGGCATAAATGTTTATATGTCCGCACACGACCATAACTAATTACAACGTGAACGTAAAGAACACCGGATAATTTTTTTGGGCTTCGTCTCGTATTTAGCTTACACAATTCTCGGAAGCTAATTATCATAAGGTGATTACGTGCGAAAAGCCAGCTGTTCCCTCATTGGCAGGTCTAATACGCCTTAAAGGGACAACTGACAGCAGAACAGCCGTTAAGATTGGGTCCTTCAAGCTCAATCTTGGCTAGGAATCCTATATGATCTATATAACAGCATCGTAATTATCAGGACATACTGTCGCTGAGGGCTAGTCAATAGCATTTTTAGCAGCTCCCTCCATACGCACCGATTCAACGAAACTTTCTACCTTTGGATCTACCGAAGGGAACAAACAGTGTGCAGAACTGTTTTGGAGCTGGACGTCAACATAGCATGAGAAAAAAAAAACTATATTGGTAAGGAATAGCAAGCAAGGGGAGCACAATCGTTTACTTGGCCGTATCATGATTGTCGCCGGTGATTAAAACAAAAAAGGAATGTCCTGAGAAGATTTATAGGGATGAAGAAAATGGGGGGTTGTATATATGAACTGTCGACTCAACACGAAACTATAAAAAAATCAGATAAAAAAAATCGGATGTTGACACCAATTTTGCTGAAACTCGTTATCTTTTCATCGTTCATTGAAAGCAAACTCAGCTGGTAAGGCTTGGAGTTTTAGAGAAACAAGCGGTCTTAAAATTGACCGTCAGGTCGAGGTAGAACATAATGTTGGCATGCTAAAAGCGAACCGACCGATTTTGAGTTGAGTGATTTTTTAATTACGCGCTGTTTGCAGACGGAATTCGGTTGGTAGGTCTTCAGCAGAAGCTGAGTGGTGCAAACGTTTCGAATCAAAATTCAGCAATATGTCGAACGACAGAAACGCATTTGCTGCAATCTAAGACACGAAAGATTTTCGTGCGATTGTGGTCTGGCGTATGTGGTCGCTTCGGATGATTCAATTTCTACTAATAGGTAAAAAAAAAAAAGGGAAGCTAGAGCCCTGAAGGCTAATAATGCCCCATAGGTGCGGTCGTAAGGTAATAATAGTACCTGCAATGCTACCGAAAATGAAACAATGAATTCAGTCAGCTATCGCCAGTTCCTCAAGAGACACATAAACCGTTGACGCTGCAATGAGAGACATGCAGTCGTGTTATTTGATGAGTATGCCTCAATTACTTCCTGGGTTAAGCAAAACATTGTCCAACGTTGGCATTAACCTACTAATTCTCCCGATCTAACTCCGTGTGATTATGAAGTTTCCATGACGAGCAAAGAGTGAACCTATGCCTCACGATATCTCACTTTAAGAATCAGCAGATGGAGAAATTGTGTATGGAAACGCAAATGGTAAGTATATGACTATTCAAAAGCTGCCAGAGCGTTGGGATAAATGCAAAAAACTAATATGTCTAATACATATGAGAAAGCCTTGTAAGTTACGACCGCCTTCGTACTCAGGTGTTCCCTAGTGTCAATACTAGAGATAGGAAAATTATCGCAACCTAACCTAACTAGATTCGAAACACTCTTTATTAGGAAATGGAACGAGGAAAAGGTCTGCGTAAGCAATATCTAGCTCATGCTTAAAATAGAATTAATATACGATTTTTAAAAATTGAGGAGTGAAACGTGGTTAAATACGACTGACCCTATCGTGAGTAGAAGATGAGCTTTTGCGCAATCAATCGGACATTATTTCTTTATTCCGCTACAATGTATGTGATAGTAAGAATTTTTTTTTTGCCTATGGTAAGATGTTATGTCTCACCCATAAAACTAACTGAACTAATGTCCTTTTTAAGTGGAGGTGCCGATGCCTTTTTTATTTTTTTTTTATAGCTATGGCTGCAGCGCACGTAACATGTGGCAGATAGAGCTTCAGTAGCAAATGGATGATTTCGATCATTCGAGTATGCCGCTTTATTTACCTCAAATTTACACTTATATACTATATACGTTCTTCTATATATATATATATATAAGAACGTATGCTTCACTGTCCCATTGTCTTCTAACATGTAAGTAAAAAGGAAAACAGATGACAAAGAAAAAGCAAAGATAGTTGATTTTATCACGAAGTGCGTAAAGTTTTAGCTCGCGCACTACATTGATCCATGTGAGAGACGGTCATTGATGAACACACACAAGAATGTATTCACAAACACTAATTTACTTGGTATACGATTTTTTTTTACATTAAACACCACTCTACAGCCTGGGGGATGCATTCATTGAATCGCCACCTATGAGACATACGGCATGACAGACTTTCTCATATAAATTAGATATCACCATTTTTACATACGTTTCTTTTCGTCGACCGTAATTGTTTGCCGCATATCGTGCCGAACGTTAGGAAACGCCCGGCAGAGTCTTGCACACGCAATGAGTACGTTGCTAGATGCTTATCCAACGTCATAGGATCTTTGGTTAGAAAGCGTAGTTATGAGTGATGCGAGCACTTAATTGCGAGACGCTTCAGTATTTCCTTTATTGAAAACGCAGTATATAGAAAGAAGTGTTTTGGGGGGGAGGGGGGGGGTAATGGGCGAAAAATGTCGCCGGTTTTTTGTTATTGTTTTCTGCTTTCGCCTATCGTTTTCTTCCTTGGCTCCGTCATTCAGTGTCCGAATCGTGCCCGTCGTTTTTTGCTCACTTCGATGCAAAGTCCTTGGGGAAGATAAAGAAAAGATGGTGGGATTTGGGCAAGCTTTGCTCATCAGTGTAGTAGTAATCAATGGCAAGCAGCAACGGACCGAGAAAACTGAAAGAAGGATACATGTACGAAGGAACTCACTGTGCAAGATGAAAACAATGAGGAACGACAGACGGTGAAGGGAGAAATGCACGCCGTTGAATTATTGTCTCGAGATACACTAACACATCGTACAGATTATGAATGTTCGATGTTGGCAAAAACACGAGCCCGCAAGCACACAAGCACACAGTAAAGATTATTCAGCGATCTTTTTCGGGAACTGCATACACGAGGTCATAGCCGAGAAAGCGCGTAATCGGGTTCTGACAAGGCAGCTTGCTAACCCCGTTTAGGCTAATTTCTCAAAAGAGATTCACGAATTTTTACGTACGGTCGATACATTTAGGCATCTTTTACTTCTTTTCATGACTCCACTTCATTTGTAGCCTTCATACTTTTCGATTATTCAATATTCGGCAGAAGTACGATACGATTCCCCGTTCAGATGAAACGGATATTCAGCGAAACGCTTGTTTTAAATTAACTAACAATTCGCTTATTCAGTGCCTGCGCTTCTAATCCTCAATAAGCCCGATGGGATTGGCGAGGTTTATGTGCGACACTTGATGTTTAGAGGTTCACAACAATAATAGGAAATTGGTCCTTGTAATAAGTGTGAGTATCAATGTGTTTCATGTAAGGACAGTTGTTGATTGTCACGGTGTCTGGGGAATCGACTGCTTAATGGTAATGTACCGAACACTTGACGTTCCAGTCCGACCTGTTGCCTTATAGGATTTTTGTTGCATGACATTAGTGTTTGCAACAGGAAAAATACCGACAACGAGAACGCACGAAGAAGAAGAAGAAAAAATAGGCCAAGAAAAAGGCGAGATATGGTGATGCTTGGTAACTAAGTCGGTTTCAGGGAGAGACTGCCTTTCTTGTACTTTGCTGCTGCTGCTGCTGTTGTTGCTCGAGATAAATAGCCTATCACACAGCAAAAACTGACCAACCGACAGAACGAACATGCACTCACCCACCTTCCGCTTACTCAATTTGCGCGCTCACAGCGAACACTCACGAACACATAGAGCCGCAGACATACGCCCACAAAGACGCACAATAATCACACGCTGTCGGCATCCATGAGATCGCCTACGGAGGCGAGGCCCAGCTTCTTCCAGGCACCGCCCCTAAGGCTGGCCGGGCTTCAGTATCCACTCGATGGGGCGAGGTTCGCCGTCGACAAGGCCATCATCGCTTCCATTCTATGGCGAAGGGGTGGCGCGTCCCAGCTAGCGGCTGCTGATAGATGTACGAAAGGGTTTGGGAACAAAGAAAACAAGGGAGCAGAACTCGCGAAGCTCATGATAAATACAGATAAAAAGTTGTTTTCTTTTAAGTTACTATCGTATTTAATAGTGGGGCGTCGGGTTTGTTAGCTTGGACTTCGCCGTCGACTTCTGCCCCATTCATCGTACCTGATTGTTTTTAATTATACAGTTTTGGTTCAGGCTGCTTTAGGCTACGTTTGAAATCCTTCCAGTGAGATGGATTCTACAATGAAACATCAAGCTGCCAATATTGTTGGCCATCTATAATCACCACGAACGTGGTGCACATAAAAACGCGCGCCAACTAAGATGCTACCGAGTAAGACCCTTTCCCTAGAGAAGCTTTTCATATCGGCACAAGGAAGCGTAGTACCTTAGCGACAATGCAGTAAACGAGCGACTTAGCGTGAACACAGGACCACGCATCAGGATATACCTCGAGAAGGTGGACATAGAACTTGCCCACTCCTTAAATGGCAGGTGACAACCGAAAGATGTCTCCTTTAGACAACTGGACGACACCAACAAGGATCGAGCTGCTACAGTCCAATTTTCATCGCATCGATAACGCTTTGAAGCATGGACCGAATGAAGCGGCAGGTTCATATTAAAAACATAATCGTAGTACTGTCATCCTTTTTGTAGTACGATTTTCATGACTTACTATTCGCAACATGCACGATAGGTGTATGTAAACACCCGAATAAAGTTCCACTGTAAACGTAATCTGATTGATAAAGGTCTTGACAAACAATCTACTGAACAACACGTGCTTGCTCTAGCGTTATCTAGAGAATATTGTGAGAAATGAATGTACGTGTAAACCATTGTCTCGTCTCGGGGTTTCCGCTGTATTTTATGTAGTCTACGTCGCATCTTAGTTTGCTTGAAGATTGGGTTGTTGAATATTGTAGCGCTCTTGGATATTTGCTCTCTGTGCACAGGTCTTCAAATGGTTTCTTTTTAGTTTAGCATCAAGGACTTGCCCCCTAGGAGGCTGACCGGGTTGGGCTTCGTTGGATTTATCTAATATTTCTCGAACAGACTTATAAAACGGCATGGCAACTATACAAGCAGCTATTCACATTGAAAATAATAGCGGCATGCCTGTTAGTTGTGGTTACGGTGGCGACGAGAGGTACCTGAGCTACCCAGACCACGCCGCCTTCTGATGTGATTACTTGAAACTGCCATTACTAAGCAATTATAAACGACCTACAGCTTCAAATGCTCAACAGGTTCGTATTTTTTGCAGTTCAATGTGAACATGTACTTCTACTGAAGGGGCCAGCTAAGAGCGGCTTGTTACGAAAGACATTGTTTTAACATTTAAACAGACAGCTCGTGAGCTTGCTTCGGGTAGTTCAGCTACTCGTATTAAGAATCCTCGTTTGAGGAGTTCCTTGACCTTAAGTTTCGCCCTCGGTGTCAGTATCTAAGCCAGGGTCAATAAAAGCCCTTATTTGTAGAGCAATACTATAAAACACATTGAAGATAATTGCTATTCATCGAACAACACAATGACCATGTATATATATCGTCGGAAGTCACTCGTTCACTGAGGACAATAGGGTTCATTAACTAATACGTTGCACAAACGGTGGAAATGGTGTTTTGTGGGAATAATAACAATCATTAGGAAGTCTAGTTATAAGCTGGAGTTCGCTGTCATCAGTTTATAGATGTTTCGAAGTATAAACATCGAGTTTTTATCTAAGGATACAAAAGAAAGGAGTTTATTGATTTCCTTTTTTCCTATTACCGCTCTTAGGGCAGAGGCTAATGGATAGCTTTGGAAAGCATCCAAGGTATAGAAATGCTGTCTGCGGCTTTGATGTGGAAAGCTTTTATGATTAACATTTAGTCTTCGTTACTCGGCTATGATTCGCCTACCTTTCTTACAGTTTCCAATATGATATGTCCTACAGCAGCTCCTACTCTTTCCTCTCAGAAATACTCTTTTGCTAAATAAAGACATTCTGCATTGCTTGCGATCGACTCTTCTTCAACGTATTGAGCTTCCTTCAACATTATGCCAGCCAAAGTAACAAATGGGACGCTACCTCCTGGTATAGGTCCTGTTATTTTGTTGTAAACAGGCCAATACTGGTAGGTGTATGGCTCAGTTCGAGGCACATACGACTGCAGCTTTAGCTATTAAACTGAATACGCTGTAGTTCATACCTAATTATGATAAACTCTGCAGGTGTTATAAACAATAACGACACTAGCAGCATTGAAGATATTGAATGCAATAAGATTGTTTTTCACTTGACAGGGCTAACTTTAACTTACAAGTTATTCATTCGGTATCTAGCAGATTAGTTAGTGATATAATATATGTGTATAAGAAGACAGACTTTTCAATTTTGGCCAAATTGGCTCTTTCTCGCAAAATGGTGCAAAGATCGTATACAAAGCAAGTGGTGTCGATACGTATGAAGCGTATTTGCCACCGACAAGGGCAGTCGCATTCATAGTCAAATTTTTTACTTAGCATATTTTCTATTTATATTAGGTCGGGCAAAACAAATTTCATTTTCAATGAAAACATTGTTTCCTCGACTTTCGGACATTTTTCATCTACAGAGAAATGTGCTCGAATTTCCACGGTCCTGCTCCAACCTTTGGCGATTAGACGCATTAAGGGGCGTCCACTAAGATGATATGACTGATACGGCCATTTTCGGAGATCTATCGCTTATGTCCAATTGCTTAGCGTCGAAAGCGAGCAAAGTTTGACTATAAACAAGTGACAAAAAAAATGAAGCTTGGGGTCTCTCGGAATTCTTCGAATCGTATCAATCGGATGCTGCGGGCCAATGAGATCGCACGATCTGATCGAATGGAAAATTGACAAACTCAGATAGAACGCAAGAACACATTGCGCCAGGTGTAAAAAAACTGCTTCATGAAGTGTACATAATTAGTAAATTCGAGGAACTAGTGAAAAAAACACATGGTCTCTGGCTGAAATAACAGAAAAACTGCATAGATTTACAAAGCTCTTCTTAGTTCAGTTATCGATCTTCGAAGTCGTCTATATCGTTAGCTACGGTACCCTTTTATTTTACATTACTCTCACGTTCATATTACGTTATGTATTGAAGATTCAGAGTAGCAAGCCAGCCATATTGTCGCAGCATGTTACTAATATTTTTTTTTTAATTCGCCTCAGAAACCAAGACTCACCGAGGCTTATCTTGATCGTTTGTCATTGCCTTTTAAAATGCCTATCTGGATTTTTTGGACAAATTGACACGGAAAATATAGCAATACTAAATATTTATTATATATACCTTAATTTGTACTAGCCGCATGAATAACGTATGTGTGTGTGTGCTGCATATAAGAGCTTCAACAGGCCGGAAACTTGGATTTTGATGCAACCGCGACAGATTATTATAAAAATTAGTTAATTATTGGTTTGGTAATTGTACGACCACAAGTAAAATTTAGAGCTCTATATCCAGACAAAGCTGTGATCCAGTTCTTTTTATGCATGTTTAACATAAATTTAACAGATATCAAAAATATAATTCTGCCAACAGAAGGATTCTACAATATTCAGTTCTTTTTTTTTTTGAAAGCGTGCTAGGAAGGTAAGTAAATCTTTGTAGAAAAAAAAACACGACTTTCAACGGGTCAGATCTAACTTTGTCGGAGGTGAAAAAGGGCTAAGAAACTTGAAGCTGCAACTACCCGCCTACTAGGACCAATATACCATTTTCGATGACGGAACGCAATTTTGATCCTATCAATACTTTAGGAAGTTACATTCCCTATAATGCGTATGGAACTTGAGTAAAACCTGCCGCGGGTGACGTTAGCACAGTGGGCAATAAAATGACGCATCGAACACAGGTGACTTTTAACTCTAAATTTACAAAAACGGGCGCTTGTTGCTGTAAACTATGGCTTATCGATAATTCCCGCCCTAAAACATTTTATAAATAAAAGTTCTAAAGTTCTTTACGTTTCGAAAGACATGAAATTGCCTCCTGAAGCTGAACAAAGCTTTATTTCGACCATTGTACTGAACGCTGTATTTCTCCTAATAGTTTAAAACGGTATATTGTTTCTATATACACTAACGTCTACGGTGTGTATGAAGCACTCAAAAACTCGAATCTTTTCTTATCAAAAACTTAGCTAAGAAAAAAGATGAATTTTCTTTGAATGAATAATTGGTGGTAAAAGCCCGCTAGGCTATTTCCGCTAAAAGTTGAAAGCGTACAAAGAAAAATCGTCGTTTTTAACTCATAGTCGTCTTGATCATAAGTGGGCTACAGAATCGCTTAGGCAGAAGGCGATTCGATAGCCTGCTTAAGCCATTGCGATCGTTGGTAAATAACAAGCGATCTTCAGCAGTTCCTCATAAGCACTAACTACCAGAGCTACGAAGGTAGCATAATAATCACTCAGGTACTCGTCGGTCGTTGCATAAAATACTTCGTTTTCAAAGTCTGCGTCGTGGATTATTAGAGGTTTTTTTTGTAGGCGATTTCCTTAATTCTAGATAGTGTTTGTGGACTGAAACCTTTTAGATATTGTCATGTTAACTCTTTACAGATATGACGGCGTTCGAAGTGGTAATCCAGGCCCACAGAAGGTTAGACGTAGTTATATCTTGTCACCTAGTTTCTTTTCGGTTTTTGTTACAAACGATTAAAAAGCAGATCTTCATGAAAACGTAAAAGTGTTTTTTTTTTTCTATGGTAATTAGATTGTTTGTTTAGTTTTTTGTTGGACTGTTAAACTGCGGGAGTTCTCCACTTGCGGTTATGTTAAGACAGCAAAATGTCCGCATATTCTCCGTTCGCTAAGCGTACTTTTTCTTTGCTCATAGCGTGTAGCTGCAGTCAACGGAAGACAACCACTATCTGTGTACAACTGTTACTGCCATTTATTTTTTCATATACAATTGATTGTTTCCATCGTGATTGTAATGACGTCTATCCAAATTCATTCAATTTCTAAACATTTAAATAATCAAACGTTATGTTGCCGGTTTGAGGTATAGACTTGAGTGCTACTAATCATTTTAGAATTTTCTACACATTGTCGGGATCTAATTTCGAATAGTGTGCATAAAGTCTACTGTCAAAGGTCAGTCCCTTTCGGCGCAGTGAGTACGTCCAGATGCAGACGATCAAGAATACGCCCTGCAGCAAAGATGGCACATATCCGTTCTTGTCCTTGTATGCTTTACAACAAAGTTCTTTGCGCTGTAACTTGCCACGCGTTCAACACAATATGTCTCGTTAATGTCCGCTTTTTTGAACAGTTATCGAGCAGAATTTCCCACCAGTGAAACGAGCCAGCTGGTTAAGTTCTTATCTACTGGTCGATTCTATTATAACAAGACCACATTAATTATCAAAGCTGTTGGAAAGTTAGACATCGGCCAAATCATGTGACAGCTTTCCGGTTCGTGCGCGACCGCTGCAGACCTTCAGCAAGCTAGGACTAGTGAAGCGGCCCCAGATAGGACGCGACTAACCTGCAGAACTAAGCGAAAACCATCCAACAAGAGTAGTACACGTAGGCTATATACGTATGTAAGCGGCCATCATCGTCAAGTTACTTCTGAGCCACTGGATTTGCGCTGTTTCCCAATCGAAGTAACCCTCACGCGGGTATATGCAGCTTTAAATATTCGCCCAATAGTAACGCGTGCTACGTTTTCCAATGATATGAGCAGAAATGAATAGACAGTAACGAAATAAAGCCCATCCACTTGCAAAAATTGTCAAGACATTGTATAAATGCGTGCAGAATTGAAGAGACGCATACATACGCCGTGCGCCCGCACATGTATTACGTATTATACTATTTGGAGGGAATATATCGATTGGTTATTTTACACACGAACCGTGAGAACCCTATCTATGACATTATGGTTGATTATTGTTGGTGATTTAGTAATTTATTTAACACAATTCGTTGATTTGCTGCTGGCCGCTTCGCAGTGCCAATTGTCCTACGTAGCAAAAAAGGAGTGAAAGGCCACACGAAGTTGGGCTGGAAGCCCGGAAGTGATGTTGGGTCTATGTGACTTACGTTTGAATGAGGTTTTGTTAACACGTAGAAAACGACTAAAACGAAACTGAAATGCGTAGAGATTGCTGCTGAGTTACCAAAATTGTTACCAAACCAAAACCGGAGTTGTGAAAATTGATGAAGTTCGCAGATTTCTTCGCATAGAAAAGATCAGTTTGAGTGGAAAATTCAATGTATTGACGTTTACGTAAGGGTTAAAATTACTTTGCGGTAATTTCCGATGATAGTGAACTTCAAGTAGATTAAGGCTGGGGAATATAATTATATTCATTGGTGAAAAATTATTGAATAATAGTTTGAAGTCGAGGGCGGGACATACGGCTATGGGCGGGTTGCCCATTCAGCGTCATTCACAGAGCCGGCACAGCTCTTCTTTGAAAGAAAGAGAAATTACTAATCAAGTGAGATATATTGATACGGATAGATGTGATCGTACCTACAGTGTACCTACCGTCTTAAACGAATCGATGACGATTTTTGCCCGTAGCAGTAGTTATCCAATGTGTCAACTTCTACTCTCTCTTTCGAACTCTCTTTGTCGTGGCAGTCAAAGCGTCAGTAATTCTAAACATCTGACTTTTAGAAGGCATCGCAATTTTTTAACCCACAATATGACAGAATTTCCTGAACTTTGAAGCATGTAGTGGTAGTTCTAACATTTATCATTAAGCTTATTATGCATACATGCGGTAAGGTAGTTCGCTGCGACGAACTACCAAGTGAACTGGTAGCCGTCGGTATACGAAAATCAGCGATGTATAGGATTCTGTAACTGGTAATTAATTCAATTCGGTAATTTTTTTCGGGCTTCTTCCCCCATAACTACTCTAACTCTAAACAAACAAATTGATAGCCTGCGGAATATTCTTCTCATCCTAGGACCTCCAGGTTACGAAGCGTTATTTAAAAGCGACACACAAATTGGCATTTCTTGCAGTGGCGTTTGTCAGTTACGATGGGGTCCCGTTGGCGTCGCGCCCCTGTCCCTGTCTCAAAATCAATGCGACCATCAGAAACAAAATCAAATCAATGACTTACATCGAAATCGTCGTTGAAACGAGGCGTCCGCTGAGAAAGTTCAACCTTTTCCTTTTTCTCTGATCCGTTTGCTTCGCTCGCAAAATATCGAAATGTCGGTAAAACCTATCCGTTCTGATCATCGAAAGAAGGACGATAGTGTTTCGATGTAGCAAAGCTGTATGTTCGCTAGGTTTTAGATCGTTTCATTGAGATTTAACTGGAACCAGCGTAATTGCTCATTTTACATGTAATTATAAGAAAACAAAGACAATTACTCTTTACGAAACGATAAATGATTGATGGCTGATCTTTTACGGGGTATTTACTAGTTTTTAGTGCCAGCATTTTCGGGGTGTTCAATAAAGAACCCACAACTTGGTTCAGTAGGAATATGTAATCATGGTAGCAATGCGCTAACGCACTTGGAGCATGATATTTGTTAATCCTAATAATGTCTTTAATTTAACTTTTCAACGCATATATAGTTGAGGAACTTGACGCTTTACGGAACATCTGCTAGTTTAATTCTAACAACAAAGTTTGTGTTGACTTCTGCGCTGGTTAGAGTCGATGGCTATTTACAGCACAGAGATAAACGAGGAGCTCATATAGAGAACTTAATGCGGGTTTCATTGGGTTTGAAGTTGCATGTTTTAGCTTTTAGAACCGGTACCGCTGTTAGATATTTCATTGTCATTCGGCTAGCCGTGCCACTATGTATTCCTAAAATTAATAAGTAAATACGTCACCCATAAGCTTATCATAAAGGCACTATATAGGTGATGCCTAACGACAACACCGGACGTAAAATTCGAAACGTTTAGTATTATATAATCGTCTGCCCTAACTAAAATTTCGCGCTAGGCCAAAATTCTGAATTCTGAACCTATTTTATAGGTTAGATAGGATGTACACTAAATATTAATAAGTTTTACGCGCTAAGGAAAAATAAATAGTTCCACCTGGCGCAAAACGCTGTTCTACTACGGCGTCCAACGATATTAAAGGAGAACTTTGCGATATATGAATATGCATAGTTACTTCGCTATGATAAGTTTATTTTCTTTGTTGTTTTCAATTATTGTTTCAATCAATTTTTGTTTCTTGAGAGCTAAGAGATTGCTAATATACTCGTATGTCCTATGGAGTGGCTAAAATCTGGAATTACCTTAAGCAAAAGTATAGACACCTTTCTTCTTCTGCTTCGTTCCGCTTACCTATCCAGCGTTGCCCCACTCTGTGTGTAAAATGCTATTTGTTATCACGACGAACCAAAATCCAGTTGGTTTGGAATTAACCAATCCATAACGTATGTAAATTAGGACCATGTCAGCGCGACGACGCCAGTTTACCCGAAAACGAAGAAGCTTGTTCGGCCTTCTAACGCCTTCTCCAGGGTAATGTTCCGTCAGAAAGAAGGTCTACCTGTCGTTCTAGCATTAGTCACAGCTAAGACCGGCTAGATTTCACTAGAATATATATTTAGAAGACTTTAGACATAGGTTGGAAAGGCAGTACATGAAATCTCCTGTTGTTTAGAGAATGTTTGACATGATCAGCCAGGACCAGCGTTAAGAAGTGTTTTGGAAAAAAGATTGGACTAAATCATAAGTAGTTCGCCTGTTTGCTTCACGCACTCGCTACGGCTTCTCTGACGATGATAGACGACGAAGGGTTGTACCGCGAAACGACGGGGACCAGATACAAGTAGTCTACGGCGATCTAAGCAGAAACAAGATGTGGATGTGAGGAAGTGAACAAGTCGAGTTTTAATAATCGAACACGTAATCAAAGTAGATAAATTGCCGATGACATCATTATTTATTTATCGGTGTTGCTTGAGGTTCGTAAGTGAAGGCATAGCGGGGTCAATGTAGACGAAGAAAAAAATTAGAGCTTTAAAAATGAAGTCCTGATGAGGATCTGAATGGAAAGCGATAGGAGGGTACAGCTGTTGCATGTGTTTACGCCATACGTTACGCAGCTTCCCCCGCCCATTAACCAACGTATTCAGGACACAGGCTCTACTGAAGATGACTGATTAAAGGAAAATTAGACGTAGACACACATGAGCATGATGTTATAATGGGTACGTCTTTCATTTTTTTTTTATAAGGCAACCAGTCAGCGGTAGGTCGATACTACTTGTGATCTTAATACGATACCGCTCATTTCTCACTCTCTATACACTTTTCACGTCCCCTCGCAATCTTCGCCACAATTATCTACAAAAATTTATTGTCCCAAGATTGCTTCCGCAGTAGAAACAGCTGCTAGTGTTCAGGTACCTTTTGCAACTTCTATTGCTCTAATTCCTGTTCTTCTACGGTCAGTGGTCATACACAGAAAACACCTTTGGGGAAATCTTTCTCACAAAAAAAGTATTTCTACAGTCAAAAGAGGCATCTCAAGCTGAGAGTCAGCCAATATATAAAAATAATGGTTAGCCGGCTGAAACAAGCTTCGTCAGTCTGGCTTATTCAAAGCGTTCTCTCGAGAACTGTGTGAACGTTGAAACGCACGGCGACGCCGAGCCAAAAGTAGTTTTTGCTTGGGGACTCTTTTTTGAAGACAAAAAGCACGTGCCTATAAATTGGAGAGCTTATGTAGTTTTCGTTGCGCTTCCATATGAACCATATTTATTGCTGTTTCTTTATATATATGAATAGGAAAATACAACTAAATCCGAACGAGTTTATGGATTATATATTTTAATCAATAGCGTATGCTTCTTTGGCCTACTGAACGAGTATTGGGAACCGTGTAGTGGAAGTGTTGCTATTAAGCGCTTTTAGCTTTTCTCGAAACTATCAAAAATTATTTTTGAGGTCTGTCGTTGAGGGTAGCGCCATTTCAGTATAGCTATATGATGCCTCCTGTAAAATGCAAATGTATGAAAAACGCTTGGAAGATTACCTTCGATCTACGCAGCGCTATGTGTGTAAGAAAATAAAAAAACTATTGGCAGAAAAAACCGTTGATACCAAACCAATTTTTAACACACTTCCACCAATGGTGCTAGATAGTAAATACATGTATTCTATACTAAACACGGCTCGTTTTTTTTTTTTTTTGGATTACCAGAAACTATTAATCTCTCGGATTTACGTATTCTCAATCCCAGACGGTGTTATAATCTTTTGGACATTTATAGCTCTTTTCGATAAATCGGTAAAGAGAGGTATCTTAAAATAGTCTATGATCTTACCATCACGTAATGGGCATGGACTAGCGAGATGGTCTTGGCTCTGTGAGAACCTCTCAACAATTCGTGCATCTGAGATAAAGATTAAACGACCAGTGTTCTGCGCGCGAGTTTCTGCTAATCATCTCTGTTGATATCTCCTGGTAGGTCATGTAGAGACGGCTGCAGGACATGCCTTTATAGTACCGAGTTCCTTCTCCAAGGGATGCGACGACGGACCCTTAGACGCACCTTATCGATGCACTGGTATTGAGCTTATTTCGGCAGGAATTCGAATCGATTATTACAAAATTGTTCCGATAGTTCAATATCATTGGCTCAAAGATATCGTCCATATTCGATCATGTATTCGTTTATCCGTGACGCATTTTTCATAAGAACATTCATTACGTTGATGGAAATATGTACGCATATACGTATTTCCTTTAAAGGATATGTCTCTAAGTTTAAAAAAAAAGCTATCCAACATCACAAGCACCGCTTTTCAGTTGCCCTTTTCACGAGACTGAAGACTGAGTTACTAACTCCGGTGGAGAAGTGTTCTCAGCAAAAATTAAGTAACTGTTAACATTTGATCAACTAGATTCCATCAAACGAAGTTCTATTATGTCATCGTTTTTATGCAAAAATTATTCTAGCGTTCTGGTTACAGAAGAACTAACTTTTGTCTCTAGCTGGTGGCATCAATGGTTAAACTGAACCTGATCGTTTTGATTGCAAAATATTCGGAACTCGTATCATCAGGTGACTCCTGCTATGATAAATACTAGGCTAAGTTACCATTTAGCGAGGTTTAATGTGATGCTCCGAAAGGATACATTCTCTGGTAGAAGCAAGTAAACGGTTTTTCGCGGATGTAGGTCAACAGTGCATGTCAGCCGCATCAATGTCTGCACGATGGAACCTAGCAAGAAAATTTATATTCAGTGATGCCGTTTTCAGCGGGGTTTCCCGCCCAGTTTACTCAAGCTGATAACTGTGTTCTTAGGCAGTATTTATTTTCGAGGGAATATAACTGTCAATAAAATTATATCTGTTAACTTAGTTAGGACGTATATTATTTCGATGTCTCGAATGAAAGCAAACAGGTAAACGTTTTTGATTTTCAATTTTCGCTTCCTCTTTACTCTTACACAAAGTATTTCGCACCTCGTTCGTTTCGGTAAACAGAACAAATCACGTTACGCTGGGATTCAGGTCGATTGATGTCAGCAAATGTCTGCGTGATCCGCAAATTAGAACTTAACATAGGGCTGAAATCACTGGCGTTGAAAAACGTAAAAGCGGGGAACGCGTCGTAGAAAATCAAAATGGCGATGCTCTAAACAGCTAGACAACTGTGTGGAGATTATTTCCACATAGCTCACCTAGAAGTTTACTTGGAGCTTTATTTTCGAAGCATCGTCTAATACGTTTAGAACTGGTCAAAATAATATTAAGAATATGATTCCGTTATTTTTGCTGTTAATAGGTGCAGATCAGACCAGCCGCTAGCGCAGTAATCTCGGTTCTACTGAAACGGGATTCTGAACCCCCTGAGTCTTATCTTAGTTTTAGAACATTCGCACCCATAGTTTTTGCCTACAATTTTCGCCTCAAAGGGGCTAAGCTCGCCGTGCAAGTAAACCCGCCAAAAAAGAATTTCCGGTATAGTGTAAGATATTGTATGTGCGTGCTGTATCATGCATTATGGTCAAGGGTGCCGAACGCTGTTGTCGAGACGTGAGACAGACGCATGTACGTGCTGTCAGACGAATCTGCTAAGCAACCGCAACTAATATATACTACAACGATTGTCCCGGTGCAAGACATACTTGCTAATAATAACCGGACACCTATAAAATCCGTAGTATTTGTCTCTATTTCGCATTTTTCTATGCGCTATGACCGAAGAAAAAGTTTTACTTCTTGATTACTAAACATAACTAGTATTTGATTTGCTCGCAGATGACACGGGTATCGTGCCCCCATTTAATTTTGATCAGCTTCATCGAGAGACTCTGGCTTCGTGTACAATACGAACAGGATTAATGCCACGAAAAAGTCTACCTACTTCCTAATGAATTGCAAAATAACAGCGAAGTGAAGTTGTTATTTAAATCAGTTCTCTTTAATTAGAGAGAATTATTCCCATCGATGAATTTCCGCTTAGGGACAGACACTAAGATCATTAAAGTGAACTTCGCTGTCTCCAGAAAGCTATGACCTAGATGTGCTTTTTTTCCCCATTTTCAACGATCGTGCTTTCGGTAGATGATAAATACAGGTAATGAGATGATGATAAGTGTAGGACTATTATGAACGCATTAAGCGGCTGTTATCAGCGAGATGGAACAGCTTAGGAATGAACGAGAATATGAAGTGGATATTGGCGTCGAGAGAATTTCAAGGGCCCTAGAAAAAAAACACGGTATCGTTTCAGATAACGGAAAACTTGTGGTAATTTTGTGGACTATGAAATCTATTATCTGATTAGCTGCTCTTGATAAAAATCATTTTCATAATCGCAAGAAAAAAGATCGTTTAGATAAGACAACCGCCCGTCTGTATCCCAGCTGATCATATGAATAGCGTTCTAAAATTAAATATGTGTAAACCTCTTTTATTATAGCAATTAAATAGGTCATGGATAACCGAGACCTGCTCCCTGTTCGTGTTTTACGATAGTCTCGTTTAGAGGGGTTAACATAAATCTAGCAAGCGAGGTACAACTAACCCGCCATTGATCGAAAATTTATTTCGCTTTCCATCATGACGTTCGCTCATGCGTCGCCGCGGATCGCGTCCTCCTGGAACAATTCCCCTTCATTGCATAGCTCAACCACCAACGCCCAGAGAAGTCTGAAGGAACTCTCAATTAATATCTCACTTCCTCCTCATTGGCTATTCGGGTGTCTCCTAGAGACTTTGTCATAGATAGCTCTCTACTACGTACTCTACTCAATCGGGTGACGAATGACACGTCGACGACGTTGCTCGCGGCCTGCCTGCCATGCGGTGTGACCGGCAGGCACACTTAAGGTTGAATAGCAAAAAAAATCTGTCCACTGCTTTCTGTTTGCTCAGAATATAGTAATGAGATAAAAAAACAAAAGTTGATATCGTCTTATACATATATGGCCGATATCAAAGTAAAGGGAACTTGGGAAGGAAGGCAGGTCGCTTCCTATCACATTCATGATGGAAAATACAATGTGTGCAACGGATCTCTAATACCTTCATTGCAACGAACAAACAGTTTTAGAAGAAAATTTTATATACGTAATCTCATACCGCATTGTTCACTTCCAATATGCGCAAACTAGGATTTTCTATGAAAGTCTCAAACCAAGTCTTCCCATCAGCGTTCTTGCTTTCTGCAAGCTATGACGATTGGCAAGACAAGCTAAGGCAACCCAAAGTTAATTATTTATATATGTATAAAAAATGCTTTTTTTCCTACTATGTATATGAAATATTAGACAGATATTTTCGTCCATAGATAGTCGAAGGCAGTCAGAGCGGGCACGCCTCTTTGAAAACGATAATCTGTTCTGTATTTCCGGTTGCTAGATAGAGCAGAAACCTAGTTAATTGATTACTATATTTAGATACGTAGCTCTCATTTTCCTCTATTATTTTTCGTAATTGCATCTAATCCGTGTGTATTGATTCTCTTGAATATACATTGGACAGTAAGATAGATAGCTAACGACAGGCACGCTAGACACGGTAAGTTCACTTGCCTCTCTAAAAATAACGTGCGTATTTGTGCTATGCAGCTGAACGTTTGTCGCTGATAAGTGGTCAGGGAAACCGACTGGCGCCATTTATTTTCTTAATGAAACTCTTACTTATGTAAGTACACTTCATATAACTCGTCTTCTTCCTAGACATTTTCCATTGTAGACATTGAACAATGAGAGATGGCGTTCTTTGTGACGCGTTTCCTATAGACCAATGATCGCAGCGGAAACGAATGTGCTTATGAGTGTTCTGGGACATACAACTGAGGCAGTCTACCATGAATGAGCACTTCAGGGAGCGTTACCTATCCCCGTGATAGCTTAGTGGGTAACGTATTCGCCTGCTAATCTTAGGGACACGTTGTCCTACAGCAGCTGTCTGATTAAATGCTTTACTAGAGTGATACCAGACGTAAAGGTCAAAATATAGGGAGAGCAGTACCTGTAGACACGGACTCGGCCGCCAACAACGTGGCTCACAATGTCGCCGTTTCGTACACAGCCGCAATCACTGTTATTAAGTCACGCTTTTTTTTTCTTGTCACGGAGCATATAGACGCGTACACTAGAATGTTCGTGCATGCAGTCAATGGTCTGCCACAGTTTTTTTTTTTATAGTAAGTGTTGTCAAATAACGGCGTGCCAAGTCTTCTTGCTGCGCACATTCTAATTGGCAGGTGTGAGCGGCCATACTTGTCTATATTTTTGTTATATTCACCCTAATTTTCCCCACGATATGTTTGTACCTGTAAGATAAATTTGCATATTTTAAAATGGGTCGCTGGTAACTGGAACGACTATGTTCCCAAGTAGAGTTAATCTTCGCCGCAAAACGCCGCAGTTGAACGGTACTACCTGTAAACCTGTATGTATTGTTGACCCATGGTATTCATCAAAATGGAAAACGTATTAGACATTTGTGGAGACTTTTAAGATGGCACATGTTGGGTATCCGCTTATTTTTCGAAATCTTTATGTCGTCCATTAAGGATTCTTAAGCCAATAACTTAATTTTAGCTTTCATCTTCTTTGCCGGCTTACGCTGGTGATATCGATAAGATTTCATCAAGCATCTAGAAATGCTGGTCAGATCTTATCGATACGTGTGTGTGATAAAGATGAGAGCGCCATGATTCGATGACCAGTTATTATTGGTCAAATAGATTATGGCCATTGCGGGACGTCATATGCTCGCTAATAGATTTCCTCCTTCATACTAGATGCTATCGATTGTAGAAGGCACAATCGTCGAAGGTCTTCGGCAATCAGCTGCTCAAAATGCATTAAAATGTTTGTGTTATAGTTTTTCAATAGTGCAATGACTCCAACGTAGAAATTGTATGGAGTATTTTACTGTGTTACAACTGGTGACGACAACATATTAACCTTGCGAATTTTCGTACAAAGTTAGCTTCAATTTTCTTCTAAATACTTATACAGGGTATTTGATCGATTTTGTAAAAATCAATTAAACTATATACGTGCGTGTATTAAGATGAAAAACTTCTTTCGAATGGCATATTTGTAAAAAAAATACATCTCTATGTGTTAAAAACGATCATGGTTAAGACAGTAATGATCTGTTCATTCCCGATTACGCTATTATTTTCTTGCCAATATCTTTTTAAAAAAAATCTGTTATTTTCTTTTTGCTGCTACTAGCCGTATATGCTGTCGTTAAATGGTGTTCTTATATCCGCGTTGGCTCGAGAAATTTTGCGCGGCACATGGCAAATTATCGTCGTTTGTCCTACAACTAACGTCTGTACTAAAGCCGCTGTTTCTTCAGACCTTATTTTTTGCATGGACGTAGATACGAAATCTATGCCAGTAGTGACTATATACGTAAGCTATAAAACTACACATGACTCGATAGTACAACGGGCTGTTGCGGAATACCGAGGTGCCTGATGTATGGATTTGTGAAAAGTAATTTTTTCTATCAAATAAAGTACTTTTTATAAAACACATACAAGTGATTTTGACCTGTTTTAGTTATTGCTTTATTTAGCGAAGACGCAGTCTATTTCTATTAAATCTCGAGCTTATTGTTTTCAACACTTAGTCGGCTGCATCCAGCTGACATGTGTAACGTCAGCCAAGTATTCCCTAAGTCTGAGTCCGACGCCGTCAAAGAAAGCATTTTTGCCGCGTCAATGGTCAGGTAAAGCGTACAGCTGGCGCCGCATATCATTCTACTAAACAAATGAAATAATAACATGCCATTTTACTTTCAAAAGGGTGCGCATCGTGGTCAGCAACTCTGGTGGAGGCCAAACTTTCTGTAACACTTCCTGCAAAGCGATACGCCCTCCACCACGGAAGGTTCGCCCCGGCGACACGGATTCAAGAAAGACAAATCAGCGTTCGCATCAAAGCAAGATACGATGTGTTTTGACGAAAATTCCATGAAGACTAGCCGGTCTTTGACGATCCATGAGACTCAGCGCTTCATCTAACCCCGTCTTTCTCTAAGTTAGCGGGAAATTGTCCCATTGAGCATATCAAGCGTACAACACAACCTCTTAGCGATTCTAAAATAATACTATCAACTAAATCGCCGTTGCGATCAAAATTTGATGGTCGAGCAAACGTCCCAACCTAAACGAAGGGCCGTCGGATCCTGTTGGCCAACAATATAAAAAACCTTGTGGCGGCAGCTTTATTTTTGACAACACCGACCATGGCCATAACGGTGGCCTCAAAGCAGATAATATTTCTATCTTCCAAAAGCTTAGCTCTACTTACGACGACGCCGAACGCGGTGTGGGCATAGACTGCGACTACGAATCCCACACTAAGCATTCCAGCCGTACATATTTTCATGGGTTTGCCCCTCAGATCATAGGTATCATAGGTACGTACGTTCAGACTGAAAACACGCAGATGGAACCGCTTTGATTAAATGATTAAGTGTATTTCATACCGCAGCATATATTGAGAAAATGATAGGCTTTCGGACCGCTTACGGGATATATAAATATAACAGTTGGTTGAACAGGTGGTACCGCTAGAAAAGAGAAAGAAGCCGGTTCCGTCTGTGGTCGCTCAAGTTATATTGCGGGATCAACTAGAAGGAAATAGAGGGAACAGAAAGGCAGAAAAAAAATTAATTGCGGTCGTTGATTGGTCTTGACAAAGTTACGAATATGGTTCCGTGTCAACTTGTCATCATTGAACAGTAAACAGTAATTTGCCCACCATCTGTAAGAGGACTGTTTATAACTACAATAGATTTTATTAGCAATCTATCGTAAACCGTACAATTGGAGAAAGTGTTCACGTTTTTCTTATGATATTATTGTTGTTGTTTTCTGTTGGTCGGGATTTGCTTTGCTGTAATAACAACACTTGACCGCGGGTAGGCAGTTCAGGCTGATCGAGTGAAGCGAGAAAATCCGACGAGACAGAATCGGGGACTGGGGAAATTCCGCGCAGCAGAATGGCCCTATCCGTAGCTGCTTTTCGTGCTGTTGTTGATTTGTCAATAGAAATTGCCGAGTGTGGACATTGTGCATCATACTGTGATGAATGCTGCACACAGCATAAACAACTATGTTTTCAAGATAGATCAATTACAACACTGACTCCTGCGGGTCTGCCAATAGCGCTCTACGGGATGACTAAGACAGCCTCGTCAAGCCGCATAGGTTTCGAAAATCAGCTGTTCCTCCAATGGAATGTCGACGTCGTGCATCCCATCACGTAAGCGTCATCAATGATGTCATCGTGTTGATCGATAGAACGCAAAGTCGTTGGTTACCCTCTTCGAAATAAGTACACTCAAAAACAAACACAATATAAGCTTCCAGAGTTTAAAGACAACGTCGTATTATTTATGATTGTATTCAACGGTCCCGCGCCTATACTAATTTCAAGTTCTAGCACAAATATTACTATCGTTATAAGGTTCGAAACGAAGGGCCATTACGTAACTAAAGAGTAAATGAACATTTTTAATGATTCGTTCTGCAAAGGCTAAGACGGCTTGCCGCCGAGAAAACATTCGTCGATCCATTATGATATAATTCGACTTTTGTCATTTTAGTACTTTTTATTATCTTTGCCTTGTGAGATAGTACGATGATAACACGCTCGGTTAATGATTTTAGGTGTGCGCGAAGTGGTCTAGACTCAAAACCTTTGCCCTGTGCCGGAAATCAGCCATCTGAGACAGCGCTTGACGGAAGTGCCAGATGTAATACTTTCAGTATGTATTAATTTTAACGGTCACTACTCAATGGACTACCTTGTAACATCGATCACGGTTCCAATATGAGTCCAAGCAAAGCTAGCCTACTTCAGACAGAGTTATAAAGTCTGGAAATTTAAATCATAGCAACAAATACAAATAGCATGACTTTGAAATACGCTAACAGTTTTTTTTTAACTTTTCTTTTTTCGCTATTTCCGTTGCGTGAACAAGTCCTCAAGTACATACAACGTCAAGGACCTTCTCCGACTAGAGAGTTTGGTGGTGGTGGGGGGGGGGGGGGGTTGAGTCTTCTTAAATTTACCTTACACTTCCCCAACAGATTTATGATATGGCATGGTAGCGATATTCCAAAATTGAGATTGGAACCAGCAAAGCCCGTACGCTCATGGTTACTATGGCAACGCGTTCAGAGTGCATGGACCACGCCACTCCCGAGATGAATAGTTCTACCGTTTAATCCGTCGCTGTGTGAGCGCGGAACTCGTTCTTCTAACGGACTAAACTCTACGAAAAAAAGAAAAAAGCTTTACCCTTATGGTTGGACGCTTTCTACACTTCCGTCTTCAATTAATAGGAGCATCTTGAATATCTACAAGGTATAAGTTAATTCAAACAAAAATTAGATCCTATTGATAAAGCATGATCGATAGAGTTGTATTACTGTCTCCCGTTCACAGTTACGTAACAGAAACAGTGTATTCTATAAACGAGCTACACGGTGCTGCCCGTTAAAAGCATCAATAGAATCAATTGAAAATCAACTTTAGTCGATCACGAGTGAAGCAGATTCCTCACAACGAGTTATATAGACGATACGATATTTAGATGTTGAGCTTAATCGCACGGGTTGGCGGCCACTACAAAATATGGGCATTTCCCATCAAATCAAAAGCTGCGAAGCTTAGAGAACGTGAATGGAGGAAAGTAACGACTATGATGAGTCTTACCGGATCGGAAATTACTAATAGGTATGTACATGCGTGCCTGAATCAGTGTACAAAATGACTCTTTCTTTTGGCCCAATCATCTGTTCAACCTTCTGCTTATATGAGAATCCGGCACTGTATACGGCACTGTTATAGGTCGATCAATCGTTGTTAAGGTTTAAGCACTTTTTGTGTAGACAATATCCGTAGCAATAATTAGTTGCTCTATCTTTAAAAATCTTTATCACATTAAAGTTTATCAACTTTTATTACCGAGTCATAAACCATACGATGGGCATGCAGTTACTTCGCATGAGTGAAAATGTACACATGCGCGAACCATGACAATGGCACCCGCATCCCTCAGTGCAATCAACAGGACGACAAACTCGATCCGTTTAAATTAAACTGCAGGACCAAATGAATTGAGTAACGAAGTTATAGGTCGTATTTTTTTTATAATATGAAGTTGCTCTCAATACTGTACAGCGACACAGATATAAAAGACCAGAATACATTCCAATCGGTTGTGGGAACGTGGCATTGTTTATTACTCTATATAGAAATTGCAGGATATTCCGCTTAACTTTAAACCATTATACGAGGTTATTTAACTAAGTATCATCACCACATTCGCCTTAAAAAGGAAAATATACGAACTTGGCATCCCTTCATCTACGATTGAATTGAGTTTTCCCAATAGTCAAGTTTCAACTGTATGCCTGCACATGGCTCTGAGAAAAATCAGTATCGCGAGATAGGATAGGTTCCTCCTGCGCGCTGTACCCAGTTAGCTGAATATGAACACTCGTGCTAAAGCTATGGGCAGTAGGAAAAGGTGCATAAAAGGCATGCTCGTATAAGTAATCTATGAAGGAAAGCGATGGGGCACATCTTTTTGCGAAATGAAACATGTATGAAGAGCAATAAAATTTTTAAAAAGCCAGATTTTAAGAGATAATTAATGGAATATTGCCAATCTCGTGTCACAATTTGATGGCTGGAACTTCGGTAAAAGGATTCTCTGGACAATGTCCAGAGATCAAAATGAATTCTCGTAGTTTCTTTTAGTTGGGCCGTTGAAGTTGCGGTAGCAATTTTGTTCTTTCACCTCCTCTGGATTCGCTGCCAATGGCTACAAACTCCGCACTTAGCTTCCCTAAGAAAGTCAGCGGACGGAATGAAGTGATTAAGTCTACGTTATGAAACAAAGCCTTTTACAGGTGATTGTCTAGAGGAAGTCGTTCACTGCACCAGCGGCTCAACTCGTGCCTAGGTTCCCTATTATATTCACTCGCTGTTATTTCAGTATTAAACATTCACAAACCTTAGATGAAATTGTGTGTAAAAATTTTATTAATAGCTAGGGAAAGGATCAGCGATCTGCGTAAAGGGCGGGTTGTAATCTATTCAATCTATCGTAGGGCTTAATAAAGGTATAAAAACAGAAAAAAAAAAACAAGAACGATACTGAAATTGAGCAAAACTTGATTTGGATCGCGTAAAATTTTTATTTCAGCCGATTCAGTGCAGAGAGGATCAGTTTCAGCTTATTTAGTCCTCTGTTTCATCGCTGCGTACAATTACATATAAACAACAGTTCGGTGTTTTTAATAGCAACTTCTGGTCGTACGAGTTGCGTTCTCGTTGTAAGTAACCGATCTATTCGTTTAACTAGACATCTTTGGCGACATTGGCCACTCCGAGAAATGCGTATCTAGATGTGCGTTATCAAAACGACAAATATATTTAAGAGTGTGTGCGCGTGTTTTCGTTCCTTTATTATCATCAATCAGATTGCACTCGCACTCAATCCTCTCCGCAATATCTTGTCTAGACATTGAACACTTTGCTGAGCCCTGTATGTGCCTTCTTTCCTCCCCTTTCGGCATGCGACTGCTGATGCAATAACGGTCGTAACAATTGCGTCGTAACGGTTAACACACGCGTATATACTCACTTCGCTTAGATCAGTGGCGTTATGATGAGGCCGAACGAGATAATAGAGCCATACGCGAGCTACGGCGAGAGGCCTAGGGGCAAGGGAATTATTTCACACTGAATTGAGTACCACTGACATTTTACAAAAGCCACGTGAATCACATTTGCCTCAAGTACCTAATTTTAGCATATGAAGTGTGTCTAAAAAAAATAGGCTTACAGCGGCCGAAAGAACAGGATATCGAATACCATCATAATGCAATGCCGGGAACCGATCCCGCTTGCTGGTAGCTGGACCTGGTATAGAGGCGTGTTTATTTACAAATCATTATTATCATATTAAATACTCCACTCTATCTCCGTTAACTTATTATGTATTTGACCTTTTCTGCACCGAGCTCTAAATCGAAACGAAGAAAAAATCATTTGTTTCGCGCTGAGTTACGCCACACCCACGTTCTCCCACTCACTGATCCTCTTAACCTTTGCCCCTCGAAGCAGTGCATAGTTCCTCTTTTTGACCTTCCTATATTTTGTAGGAATAACCATTTACTGTAACCATTTACTCAGAGTATTTTGGCTATAGGTGTTTCGAAGAGTGACGTTTTTTCTCACGAAACAGGTACCCATAGTTAAGTGTCACGTCTTCCCTACAGCACTTACTTACAGGTACATAATATACTGTACATACACTTGTAATCTCAGTCCCCTTTGGCTCGGGACGACGTATATTCAGTAGTTCTTTTCGTATCACCTTTTTTGCTGCGTGTATGGACACGCCCTATTTAAGGTACTATCGAGATTCGTGTAAACTCGAAAGAATCTCGAAGTAAGTTCTAAGAGGTAAGTTCCTGGAAATAAGAGCGGAAAATTACTGTTTAGGCACAGTGTGTTTGCGCTATCCCTCTGAGAAGGGGGATAGGGAGAACAAGGTAATTAAAACTACGTGAAGCTGGATAAGGGAACCAGCCCCATATTCCGGTGCGTACGATGCAGCGTTTATATCTCGCACCGCATCATACATCACTTCATAACTTTGTATTCTTACCTGTTCTCTTATATAGTACCTTTCTGCACATAGATACACAGAAATAATACAGTTATAAAGCGCACACAATTGTTAGCGGGACTTGAACTACTTGATCAACTTCAATTAGAGGCTTAGCTATCCAAGTCATTGGTTCGGTAGAGAAAAAAGACAGCGCACCCAGCCAGACGACGTGGCTTTGTCATTAAAAGCAGACTGCTAGCGTCGGTGACTCGAGGGAACTTCCGGGCTAGTCGGTTTCTTTTGCTCGCTCTTTTATTACGTTTTTGTGGAAAATATTCAATCCGAAGTTATTCCTGCCACTGCGACAACACTATCATTTATCCCTATTGCACTATTTTTGTGAACTAACCGATCTACCATTAGTCACCGTTCCCCGTTGTAACTCGAAACGGAGCAGTTGTCAAAGATATTATAGGAAAGTCGAAAGTGATAACAGGCGTTCGTATCAATGTAAGCGAATTCTGCCCTTTTCTCACGGCGAGATGGTAAACGGAACGAGTGGGGAATAGAAGCGGTCCCCACGTAACGATCAACGGCTGCGGACATGAGATAATTAAATATCTTTCGCGTTTCAAAAGTGGGTCAGTGATGAACGAAAGCGTATCCTAAAGTCCCCGAGGTTGCCAGAGTTGCTGTCACTGCTGCGACTTCGAACAAAACCGGCGAGAAATTCAAGAAGTGTGCGCCAAAACATAACTTGTATGGATGGAGAAACGGTTGGTGGTCGTTTGGACCGTAAGATATGATTCTTTAATAGCACTTTTTTTTAAGTATCAAACTGTATTGTAGGCACTCACTATACAGACGGTGTATCGAAAGGCCAGAAAGGAAGCGAGTCAGCTGGGTCCGGAAGCAACACGAAGCGTGTGTACACACGGTTTCATATGAAATCTTATTCTGGTGAAATAGATTTTTTTCAAAACGACATCTTTGGGCAGATCGATCACCGCCGACGGATACATAGCGCTCTAAATTATTTCTACCAATTTAAAACATGTAGCTACTTTTTGGTCGTGGTTCATTCTTTAGCCAGCAATAGATTCATCCCAGCCTCAACCGGTG